GCATATTTATATCACACAAGTAAAAAATATTCAAATAAGAATTTTTCAAGAGATATATTGCTTAATTTACAGTAAAAAGGAGACACACTTTAAGGCGTCTATCAAATTGAAATGCGAGCAATCTTTGATGTGTACATGTTCCGCCAAATAAATGCAGAAGGTGTACCTTTTTTCACGAGCAGAATGAAACCGCACCTTCTTAATTAGCCCTTTCCGTCAAATTTCGGAATAGAACCGCGAAAAAACAATAGAAAGAATACACGCTGCGGATGAGAAACTAAACGTTTTAGTTTATTTGTTTATTTACGTCTCATCCATGCATATTTACATAGTACAAAACATTTACATAATACATATATAAAAAGCATGGCCAATCTATCGCAGATTTATAGGAGACTATCGTTATACAACTTTAAAAATACTAGATAAAATCAAAAAAACAAATGATTAAACATTTTTGATTGTTACTGAGTATATTCTTTTCTTATTTATATCTTCAAAACTCTAATGATATATACATTTTGTATTCCATCCTGACATATAAACATAGATAAAATATCATGTTGTAATAAATGATGTGTGAGACAGTAACATTTCTTTACCTTTACTTGTTTAAAAAAAAAAATAAATAGATAAATAGAATAAAATTTAGATTACCATTGCTAATCCATACTTTAAGATCTGCCCTATAATCATGAAGATTAATATAACTGTTAAAAATAAAAAATAGATAAATAAAACACACCTATAAAGACCTATATCAACCCTGATCAGACCAGAGATGAACTGATTAGCAATGAATAAATGGTTATCTACGTTTAGCTACAAACATAAAAGAAATTTCCTTTTAAAAGTTAATAAAATGATACAACATTTTATGTACATTTTTAAAAGAATTCTACATTTAGATAATATATATTTCAGTAAGTGTAACCTTATTAATGATACAAAGTATCAAAACGTGAGAGAAGTATATTATAGCAGGTTTTGGCAGTTAATTTGGCAATTTCGTGATTTGAGAGTACAAACATACTTTTTTGTTCATCATTCATATTAATAAAATCAGCATTGATATCCTTGGCTTTATCAAATAAGACATTTCTAAGAAGTTGGTAAGCAGGACATTGTGTTAACACATGTATTTCTGTTTCAAACGTGTAAACAAAATAGAAATATAATGCTTGCTGTTGGTGGCAGAGTTTGTACAAATATATCGACTAAAATCCGCCTAAATTAAGTATATTTATAGATATAAAAGTAAACAATGCATTATTTGTATACTTCTTATTATGGTAGCAGACATTGGAAGTTCAAGCTGCCTACCTGTTGACATTAATTTGGATTTGGTTATAATTGTGGATCGGTGGTCACATCGATGGAGGGAATCAATAGCCTAGGATCTTTCTATATAAAAACCTTGTTATAACACAATGCATTTACCTCCGAATTGTTTGGTCAATAATTATCATTCATCTTTTGGGTATGTTATAATATAATATTATATTCGTGTAGTTTTATTACTATTTGTAGTGAAGTACATTGTAGTTGAATAAAATAATATTAGATATGCCCGCCAAAGTATCGCATACATATGTAAATTTATTCAACTTTTGAACTTAAGGTGACAACGTAGTCAATTATCACTAAAAGTACCAAAAATGAGATATTTAGCTTAGTATATGTATCAACCTTTTCTGAACACATTCGTGATTTAATTTTGGAAGCAGTTAGTCCTGAAACTATGTTTTTAAACGTTTTAAAACGATACCTATACCATTTTTATCTGCTACGAAGGTAACCTGTCAATTATGGATAACGCTCCGCCCCCTGTTGAGGCATCAATGAGGGAAATCGGTAGTTCCATATATCCGTGAATTACCCATTTATTTGTTTTAGTCGATACTATTCGTAATAAAAGTATCATAAAGAAAACTGTACTGTACATCTTTTAAGAATATCTCAACATTACAGTATATTGTCTACCTTTTAGTTAGCATTTTTTATAAATTAAGAAATTGTCGGCCGAGATGTAACACAAATAATTAAGCTTAGCGGCAAATCGCACGACCACGGGGGTGGTTAAAATGTACAAATTATTTATTTCTCTCAGTTCATCATACATGATACAAACATAAGGTATATAAACAATTAACATTAATTTGTAAAAACGGCAATACGTACATGGCAGAACAATCACAATACATAAAAATGATTAACCATTTTATTTTCTTCTTTCGTTAAGTACGGAAGTTATTTATTTAGCGTACTGATTCTGAAGCATAATTATTATGTATAAACAGCTGTTATTTAAATAATGTTTGACTACGAGTTGTTTATAGTCTGAGAATAACATAAAATGATGTCTATTTCATATAATCATCTTTTGACACCTGTTATGCATAATATCGGGCAAACGACAGTATTTGTTTTTTTAATAAGAGGTGCAAAGAACTGATTGTGAAGTTTAATATATCGAAATTTGTGTCGACTTAATTTTAACACATTTTTGCGGGGTTTACTTATTTTCTTATTTCACTGGCCTTAAGTTACGTGGTCTCACGTGGCGTTTTAGTTACTCACAGAAAGTGTTTATGGATTAATGTGTGAAATAATAATTTGTTGTCCCGTAATCTGATAGACATTACACCGAGTTTATGGACTTTTGTACGGAAGCACAGAGGGGACATTCCGATTTTATTTAATTTTCCTGTCTCGTGGCCACGAGATATAACTCAGAAAAAAAATTCCCTATCTCGTTCCCACAAGATATAAGTCAGAAAAAAACAAAAAACAAAATTTGCTATCTCGTGGACTCAGAAAAAAAATTCGCTATCTCGTGGCCACGAGTTATAAATCAGAAAAAAAAAACAACAAAAAAAACAAAAATTCGCTATCTCGTAGCCACGAGTTATAACTCAGAAAAAAAAAATTCGCTATTTCGTGGCCACGAGTTAGCCGACCAATCAGATGAACACATCTAAGTCGTGGTAACGAGTTAGCTGACCAATAAAATCGAAGATGCGCTCGTTGATTACGGCGCAAGTAGACATACTTGCCAAGATGGCGGCCTATAGAATGATTTTATGTCAACGAGATAGAATGAAAAACTGATTGGCCGATTAACTCGTGATAACAAGATAGCGATTTTTTTTCTTTTTTTCTTAGTTATAACTCGTGGCCACGAGATAGCAAATTTTGTTTTTTGTTTTATTCTGAGTTATAACTCGTGGGAACGAGAAAGCAAATTTTTGTTTTTTTATTTTTGTTTTTTCTGAGTTATAACTCGTGGCCACGAGATAGGAAAATAATATAAAATCGAAATGTCCTCTCTGTGCTTCCGTACTTTTGTACGGATTCAATGGCTTGTTTTACAATCAACCGCCCATTGTTTTCTCGTTTAGGGCACACGCATTTTTTTTACCTTGGACCATATGCCGCTTTTCATGGAATGGCACTAACGTGTCACATTGAAGATTCCATGATAACCGCCATATGAACACATCTGCGGATGTTTCAAAATTCTAAATTTTACCAGTTCATGTTAAATGTTGAATTCTGTTTTAAGCCGGTGCTAGTACGACAAATATGAAATTTATTGTGTATCCCAGTAGAAACTGTGAGAGCAAGACATACTTTGCAAATATGTATATCCGGTCGCGTATAAATTTATCTTTCTACCTATTTTCTTGCACTATTGTAAAACACATTTCATAATACTACTAGGGAAGAATGAAATATGAGTTAAAGACTTATCCTATATTGACATAACATTTATTATTGAAAAAACAAATAAAGCACGCAGTGAAGCTGAAAGGTAAGTGTTAAAAATCAATTATTTATGTGAGCAAACCGTATAAATGATATACACAAATGATATAACTGAAAAGTAAATAACATCCTTCTGTATAGCAGGGTAAATTTAAGTTGTTCTGTTTATAATAATACAAGTAAGTGTAAATTGTCATAACCACGTGATATATAGGGGTTTTCGTTTGTTTTTATATAGTTTTTACATCACATCAACACACACAAATATAGGTCAAAACCCCACACGTCCAAAAGACCACACCTCTGAATTTTATAGAGTGGACAAAACCCCACACCTAAATTTTATAGAGTGGACAAAACCCCACACCTTCAGTTTTATAGAGTGGACATAACCTCACACCTTCTAATTATTTGTTATAAAATCATACAATTCATATAATTTTGATATTGTTGGAAAAGAACAAAAACAGACTATGAAATAAAGTTTGATATAGTTAATTTATTTAGTTTACATAGTTCCTTTAATCATGCCAATTAATGGTATGTTATATTTTATTTCAATGTGCAATACAATATGATTGAATTATAATAGACTATACAAATATTATAAAAATCAAAGGGTAAGCATTCAAATATTACAAACTGTTATATAAAAATCAAAGGGTAAACATTCATTAATCTTAATTAAGATTAATTATTCAAAGTGTCAACAATGTCACTTATTCTATTGTTAGTCAAAGGTCTAACATATTAGTAATAAAAAGTGTGATGTTATGTCCACTCTACAAAATTGAAAGTGTGGGGTTTTGTCCACTCTATCAAATTTAGGTGTGGGGTTTTGTCCACTCTATAAAATTTTGATGTGTGGGGTTTTGACGTGTGGGGTTTTGTCCGTCTTCCACAATATCATATGGCGACTTCCCAGCTTTACAGGTAGAGGAATACCTCAGGTGCCCCTCCGTGCATTATTTCAGACACGAACGGGAACTTGGTTAGAACCACCGATGCTCCAAAAGCTCGATGAATAGTCTCCTCACATGAAAGAATTCATTGTCTCTAGTGTGATTTTAACCCACGCTAGCGAGGAGCAAATGGTTTGAAGTCAACGACCTTAACCACTCGGCCACGAACGCCCCTATGAAAGTAGGTATGTACCAGGATGTGAATGCTCATAATATGTTTTCATATAAATTATTTGAGTCATATAACAAAAGACATGTAAATGATCAGAAAATGTTTAAACATTTATTTACAACGACTGGTATTTCAATTATTTGGATAAATTTACAAATAAACTTTGTCTCATATACCGCTTGTTTTACCTTATCATCTACAGTACCAATTGAAAGTGTTTTGAAACTAGTGCAAATCTGATTTGAAACAAACGCATATTTAGAAAAGTCATTTGTAAGTTATGGCAATACAAAAAGGTTGCCATGAGCAATTGTAAACAGTCCTACATGCGATATAGCAGTGACGGAAAAGCGAACGGTTACTCCTGCAGGTGTCATTTCCTTTGTATCCAAAACAATTTCAATCCGAGTATCAACTGTTTCCTGCCACTGCACGAGATCTCCTTCCCCTCCTTCTTCAAATCTTGCAGACACTTCATAGTAAAGTGGTTCATTTGATGCAAACACGTTTTTCCAAGATGCTGTAGCAGTTGACGTCGCCTTTACCCAATTTGTATTTATCGGTGAACCTAAAATTAGTATGTTTTACAAATTTCGAATCACATGATTTCTTAAGATCTAAGGATATAGATAGTTACATGTATAAAATCGTTGGGATTCATTTATTTAAAATAAAATATATGAATAAATGTCAAGTAATTTAAAAAAAAAATAAGAAAAAAGGAATGATGCCTATGTGATTTCAATGAGATAAGATGTAAAATAAAGCAATAATATACTAGCAATAATATACTGAGCATATGCGGAAAAAGAATATAACGCGTACAAAACTTTGAGTTAACTGTTAACATAACTTTACATCCCAATAAATTGTGCACTTATATATATACACATATTTACAAACTGACCTGTTAGACTTGGTGGAACTGTGACTAAATGGAATATGCTGGATGTTTTCTGACTGTACATTTTTACTTCATTTATACCAGTTACTGATACAGTGTAGTTTCCATCCATCATGTTCAGTCCTGTGAAACTTCCGTAACTGTAGCCAGAAGATGAACTTTGAACAATTTCGGACGCCGACACTTTATCTCCAACAAGAGCAATCTTAAAAGGAATACAAAGATACCATGATAAGTGTTACAGAACACAGACTTAGTTTATATAAATATCTTATCAGATATTAAATGCATTGATGCATTGTTTCTTCGCATTCTATCATTTATCCTGATGAAGAGCCTTTAAATTGGTTCGAAACCGGTAGATCGACCAGGAAAAATACTCTTCCTCGGTGTTATTATTATTATTACTATTATGTTAAATAAATAAATCGCTTAAATAAAGGAACACAGACGATTAATTTGTTCCATAAAATACCATTTCAATTTTCAATTTTATGTAAATCAATAATTGTCAATCACGTTTCATTTATATCTTAAATGAAACCGTTTTTCACTTTTCATTTTTACAAAGAAAACCTATTAACATTATCTTTAGATTATATAATGACAATAATACTTTACCAAGTAGCTTTGTACGCCATCATCATATTTAAATCCAGTCCACCTGAACCGTATTTCAGTGTTGTTGCCATGGTAATGATCACGTGGCTCGTACTGACTTGATGAAGTTGTCAGTAATTCTAATATGACGTTATCAACGGATGGTGGTTTCTGAACTAGCTTGACACCATCAGATGAGCAGGTGTGTGTTAATCCAGCCCCATTTGTACATCTTACAGTTGCAAACACTCTTTCTTTGGGAAGTCCTAGAAACGTTTTACTTGCGTTCCGTTGATCAGGTTTAATTGTGACAAAACCTTCTATTGATGTATCACCCTTAGAAGTGCCTATGTAAATGAAAACGATTTAATCATTTGGTGTAAAATCTGACTGCAAAACTTTTCATTCTGTATGTTATTACTACAGAAAACAGATAACGAAAAATAATGAAGTGCACAGTGAGTAGTATTATGTAAAATGTCAGATTTTTATATGATATTTATCAGTTAAAAAGTTTTCAAGATATGAATACAATAGCTGATGTATTTATTAAATATAAAACATCTATCTAATACAGTTATGGCCTTTAAAAAAGTACATATCTGTTTTAATATATAACATATAAATCGCTTTAATATGGACTATCAAATCAGCCATTGAAGACGACGGAAATCGACATTTTTCAGCTTGTCTCCTTTTTCCATAATTTGGCCCTGTATTTTAATGAGCAAATTGGCATGCATGCTAAATTCTTATTGTTCTTTAAAATGTTAAGACGGTTACTAAAGTAGACTAGTTTGACTTTTATTTGCAAGTCGCCCAACGTCATAGCATTGGTCTATTGTGGGCTTTTCGAGAAAATCTATTTGAGGGAAAAAACGGTGTATATACCCTGAAAATCTTTTTTTAGAAAAAAGTCAATATACTCTGATATTGACCTGTTAATTTTTACAAGAAGATACTTCTAAGCCAGTGAGAGGAACTATTCATAGATTATATAATAATACAAAATATTTACCTAATGCCCAATAAAAAATGTTTTTTCCCCGACTCAGGACGGGGAAGTCCCAAAGGAAGTCCAAATTTGAGCCTCTTTGAAAACTAAATTTGACCCGTAAAAAAAAAGTTTAGGGTTTTAATTTTACCAGTCCCACCCTTTCCCAAGAAAATTTTCACCAATTTTTACTATATTTTGTAACTCAACCCCTACAAAATTTTTAAAGAAACCAAAAATAGTTTTAGTCTTAAGATATTAAAAAAACAATTTTTCATTTTTACTTAAAAAAGGGAATTTTAAAACGAAGCTAAAACTTTTTAAAAAGATAACAAAAATTGTTTATATTTGTTGCTAAAAAAATATCTTAAAAATTTATGTTTCCATTTACCTTGTACAGGACCATCATTTACAAAATGACATTCAGGTTTTGTCAGGTCGATCATAATTGGATCTGAGTAGCTCACCGTACGTAGTCCTGCAGCATTTATTGCAATAACTGTTATATATACCACAGTGTCGTGTTCCAGTCTAAGTGTGTTGTTACTAGCAAACGTTTGTCGTCCAACATTTACAAATGTTTGTAACTGAGTTCCGCCTTTGACAGTCCCTGATATATAAATATAAAGCAATAATACAGTATGAAAATAATGCTAATGTTTTGTATATTTGGCAGATGCATTGAAAAAAGTCATATGATAATGAGATCAATTAATATAATAAAATATTTGAAAGTTTGGTTATTTTAAACATGATCATTGAAGGTTGAATATAAAGCTGTACATTTAATAAGTTATGTATGAAATACTTAATGATTTATACTAATGTTGAAGTCCGGTTTAAGTATCATAAATAATCCTTGCAACATGAAATATATGACAAGATTTCAGTAAATTACCAATAGCCCACATATATTCAAGTATGTCCGTTTCCAAATCAACGAAAGACCATTCTGCATGAATTGATGACCAATCATGAACGAACACTGTATGAATGTTCACATGTCCGTCTGCCTCGTCTGTTTCATTCGTAGAAACTTCACAAAGTTGAAATTCAATCCCGTCTATAGCAAAAGCGGAATTTGTTTGTACAGTTCCAAATTGTACCATGGATGTGTTTGTATCCAAATGGAAATAGTAAACATGTTTCTGCCATAAGTATGTATCAGTGTTAGGCTTGCTGTACATCATGAACACGTGTCTTTGATCATTTACCTGGGTGTATCCCTCAACAGCTGATAGATGCAATAATTTGTGATGGTATAGTTGAAGTATAGAATATCAGCCTGTATTTGCCATTCATTTTGGTATCAATTTTCTGTGAAATCGAACCCTGTAGGTGTAGTTTTATAGAACCATGATGTGCCATATTTGACTTCTCGAGAGTAACGCAAGTATCTCGAGCCAAATCCCACTGTGATTCTGTTATATTATCACATATTGTAGAATAAGCCTCAAAGTTCAAAATATTTTCAAAAGATGCGTCAGATAAGGATTTGGTTGACATTCAATGCGCTTTTTACTCTAACAGGAGCTGTCGTGTCAATTATTACGCCATTTGAAGACACAAGCTTAGACACGTGTCCTACAACATCACGAGCCCTTACCTCCCCTTGGATAGCGCCACCTGGATTGCAAAATAGTTGTTTACCTTCGATATTTTAAATAAAGTATTTCGACTGTGTTATTCGCATTATGTACCTTTTTTGTAAAGTTGCTATAATTTGTAATGTTTTAGTATAATCGTGCATCACCGGAATGAAGTACTAAGTAATTTTATTTTATCGCAGCACAGTTTTACACTGTTTACACTATGTAACAAAAAATAAAATACACACGTATATAAAAATAATGTGTTAAACAGTTATATTTTTAAAGCTTTACTTTATTTTCTAGCATGTTAAAGAAGATACAAATCGACATAAAGACAAAATGAAACTGTATGTTAGAACACATTAAAACTTGGGCAGGTTTCTCGGAAATGAGGACGGACGGTGACCCCTATTCTCTCGCTTAAAATGTTTCTGTTATCATATGCTAAGAATTGTATCATGCAGCTTTCAATCTTCTAAATCTAATATAAGTATATGTAAATCCAGTATATGCCTTGAAATTTAAAGTATTATGAACAACTATATATAATAATCATATTGCTTTAAGTTAAGTTATAAAGTTACCATGTTTGAGTGGGATATCTGGATAGAATTCTATGTCTGTAACAATCCCAACTGGTGAAAGTGGTTTAATATCACATTCCCCTGGTAAATCGCCCGAGGAAATACAGTATTCATAGTTTTTGATACCAGATTCTGTATCAGAGAAGCCATGCCAGAAAGACTGGACACGGTTGGTGTCGCTTGTGGCGTGTTTGTCCAGTAAAACTAAAATATAAATTTAGACATTTTAAAAACAGTTTAAATGTAAAAAATAATATTAACTAAAGTACATACGGGCATCTTTTATGTACAAAGTAAAACTGTTATTTAATAATCTTACCAAATGTTTAATCAAGGATAAGGCGTGTCCAGATCGCAACCCTTTGTTTATAACCTTTACATGTTTTCCCTTTTCTCTGCATGTCTTAGTATCTGTGTTTATCTATAATTACAGAAATCGGTAAATGAAACTAAAAGACCCCATCTCAATTACTAGAAATTAATTTATATTTGGCCATCGAATGCTTGATTACGTCCATTTTTTTTTTGAAAATACTCATATCTTATTTTCATCTCTAAGTAGACATATACCAAGTCCATCCATGACAATCCCTGGAGATGGTGGTTCTAAATCCAACATAAATCCATCAGATACCTCCGTAGTATGTAAACCAGCTAGATTAAATGCCTGCACTATTGTGTAGTATTTCGTATTTTCTTCGTATCTCAATCCGGTAATGTTATAACTAGTCAAAGGAGGCTGCAAGTTCTTTGTTACTTCATGCAGATCGTGACCTGTAATGTATAACATATAATGCAAACCGTAAAACCAATCTAGCCCTAATCATGAAACATAATTTATAATGACTGGATTCGTAGTTCTTTCTCGAAATGGTCTGAATAGTTGTTTTGCTATCTAGACATAGATGTTTGATGGCAGCAATCCATTGTAATGTTTACTTACATGTACAAATCTAATGAGAATAAAACATAGTTTTTAAAACATTTTAATCACAATTACTTTATTTTCCACTTAGTAATAGGGTATCCACTTATCATTAAAAATTAAGTTTTTGATAAAATATTATTGTGCAATTTACACAACAATGCAACTGTTGTAGCGTATACATTTTTGCAACATATTGTAAGAAAATGCTACGCTTAAGGGCACCCAACCAGTTATCAAAAGCAATATGGTGGTCACAATAAGATGTTGTTTTGACGGTAAATTATCTTCGGACATGATGATATGTATGATTTTTGCATGCATGTTCATAAATTCATTTAAGTAGTAGCAATGAAGAAAAGAGGATATTTGCGTAGCCACGAGTGAGAATACTATTTTTAAAGTTCACGAGATGAAATAAAATTACATCTTACACAACAAACAAACAAACAGATTTTCTTTTTATTTTATGCTTAAGAGCAAGTCTAAATGAAATTTCCTCAATATGAACTTTAATTTTAAAATCTGTTTTCCCCACTGGTAGCCTCATTTTAGTCGACTTACAAGAAGTCTTGAGCTGAAAAATAAGTTCGACAATCAACGTTAAATGGCGAGTATATTATTTATTTCATTCCAAAAATATGAATGATCCCTTGTTTTAAAAACAAAAACAAACAATTCTTGTAGAAGAAAATTCACATTAATCCGACCTTATTTCCGTTACTTAAGGCGAACTTATATTAGACCAGGCTTTGAATAATAAAAGCGGCCGCCATATTTAAAAGTTGTGTATTTCACGGAGGAAAATAATTGTGTGTTTCATTCAGAGGGATATCATTTGGATTTGTTTATCATACATCTTTTTATAAGAAAGGAAACCTATTTGGGGATTGTAACAGGTAATAAATAATTGTTGACAGATGTGTAAACATTCAAAAAGCGGCTACACATTAGGAAAACATGGAATTGATGAAAATGCTGGGTTGTTTACTTATTCCTCGGGCTGATTTTCAAGTTTTCATATTGCATTAGGCAGTTATTACCCGTAGGATACTTTAATATGCCCAAAAGTCATCAAGAGCAGTTTTGCATATGGAAGGAAGTGTATTTTTCAGACTCTAAAAATGAAACAAAAAATTTAGAGATGATACTTGGTGATTGGTAATTTGAATGAATTGAAGTAATTTTTTCTTTGCATTTCTTTTGAAATATAAGTTATTCATCAATTCCAGCTTTGCTTTTCTCTAAACATCCCTGACAATGTCAGAATTGTCAGCAAAAATAAAATTGAGGTACCACATGGGGAAAATCTTAAAAAGATAGTCTCGTAAAATTTAAAAGTTTGTGAAAAATTTAAATTTTGGATAAATTTAAAATTTTTGAAAAGCAAAAAATTTTAAAACCCTCCCTTTAAATTTCCTTTCCGGGGATGGAAAATTATGTACCAAATGATATTTTTTATATTTACCGCCTTTCCAAACTTTCCTGGGTTTTCCCGTCGGCAACGGAAATGGGGTAAATTTCTTGGGAACGAAATAACGTCTTTATTTGACTGGGTTGGGGTTTTTTTTCCTTGACCGCTTTTTTCCCCTTTTTTAAAACGAAAAGGGGGTGGGGAATATTGTAACACCGGTTTAATTTTAAAAAGAAAATTTTCTTTCTTTTATGCTTTAAAAAAACCAAAAAGCGAAAAACCCCAGAATAAAGATGTAGATTCAGATAGCACTGGTCTTCCTGAGATATAATAAAATGATCCGATTAAAAACTTTAAAAAGAAGACACAACGGAATGTGTGCTAGAAATGCAACGCAATATGTGTGACAACATTTCTGTTTTCATTTCAGATGTAATTAGATATTTTTTTCTATTAGTGCTACACTGTGTTTTGTTTTTTGTAAGAAGCATTTATTTATAATCTAATTCATTTAAAGTGTGCGAATCACCGGCATTCGATATACAAGGAATTTTTTTTTTAAACATATATATTCTTTGTGACTGGGAGTTGATACATTTTGTCCTGCTGTTACTCAAAACATTTCTTTACCAGGGTACTTTTGTTAGTTTGAAACGTTATTGTACATGTATACTTGCTTTCCTTTATAATATTATATTCCAATTATATTTCAATTTTACCTCTATCAACTGTGAATACGATACTATTGTCTTGACCTATTTCATGCCATAATTTTTCTTTCACCTTATCAAATACACCAAGTGGAAGATCATCGTCACTTTCGCCTACGCTCCACTCGACCCTTTAACCAATGATAAGAGATTTAATTTAATCATTCTCAGATATTATTCAAATAAAAGGCAGTTATTTAAAAACGACATTGTTGACAATACCGTGGCTCTTCAGTACATCCATATTAAATTTAATTCTGCACAGGACCATTATAAATTAGTAAAACTATGCCCATAATAGAAACTGTGTGTTGATCTTGATTAATTAATACCAACTGTATATAAATATGATGCCTATTGAAATCATATTGTCATGCATAATGCTTAAACAAATCTGCCTGTGTACCTAAAAAATTTGAAATGCCTACAAACAATACCTAACTATTAGTATTGATAATTTCATTGTATATTTAATGATATCAAGAAAATCATACCAAAGAGGACGACTGCCTTTTAGATTTGTGATTTTCCATTTTGCAGCAAGTATACTATTAAATGGTGAATGAAGAGGCTGAAGATTGTTGTCTGGAAATCGTAGATCTAAATAGTCCTCGACTTCAATCACAGTATTATTATTACCTGTGGCAAATGAGAAGATATATTGTCAAACACTGAAAGAACGGCCATTTTTAAAAAAATAAAATCCTTCCTCAGTGAAATCAATGTTCGTTTCGTTAGAAAAACTTCAAAGAATTATGCACATTGATGCACTTTACACCTGTTTCTGAGACGGAAAACGAATGTTTGAAAGAGTCTAGCATAATGGTCTTTTAATTAAACTGCTTGAAATATTCTAAGATCTATAGACAAACATGTGTGGGGAACCAGATCTGTTAGAAACCTAGCCCCGTGTTCACAAAGAAATGGTCAGGGTCACGGTCATTTTTTTTATTTTCAATGTACTATTAAACTTACGTTGATTATATTAGGCTAAAATGATATGGTAAATAAACAATGTGTAAAAATGATGATTTGAATTGGAACAAAGTTACTTAAAAAAATATTGGTTGTAGAAGCGGAGATCAAGTAAAGTGCGCCATTTTGATTTTGAAGTGACAGGTAAATGAAGCAAAGAAATAGTATTATACGATTGGTCAATAGTATTCCGATAATTATCTTAACCAATCAAATCCTTGTATAATATTTAGAGCGGAACAGTATATGCATGCGCTATACATGGCGATAAAAACTGTCACAAGCGGGATCCTTGTGAATTTTTTAATGAATTACGTATGAAGAGGGCTTTTGATTAGTTAAGACTTCGCAGATCGATAGGAAAAGAGTTTGTTTATGGAACATACGTGGAAATTCTAGCCGTTTTTTGTTTATTTCGTAAAAATCGACCAGAAATCGTGTTTGTATACATGAATGGTATGGACGTCGAAAACGACATGAATTGAAAATAATGGCATTTTGCGAAACTTTTCCCAATTTCTTTGCTATTTGAGGGATTTCAATGAAATAAAAAACGTTAGCACTTGGATTGATGCTTTCAGATGGCGACCAGAAAAAAATCACAAGGATCCCGCTTGTGACAGTTTTTTATCGCCATGTATAGCGCATGTATATACTGTTCCGCTCTGAATATTATACAAGGATTTGATTGGTTAAGATAATTATCGGAATACTATTGACCAATCGTATAATACTATTTCTTTGCTTTATTTAGCTGTCACTTCAAAATCAAAATGGCGCAATTTACTTGATCTCCGTTTCTACAACCAATATTTTTTTAAATATTTGCGTACAAAGAGGGCTCTAGTTTAATTTAGACTTCGCAGATTGATAGAAAAACAGTTTGTTTATGAAATTCATGAGGAAAGTTTAGACGTTTTCTGTTTATTTCGAAGAAACCGACCAGCAAACGTGTTTGTATATATGAATAGATTGGACGTCGAAAACGACATGGATTGAAAATATTGGCATTTCGTGAAATTTTTACTCATTTCTTTACTATTTGAAGAATTTTAATGAATTAAAAAGCGTTAACGCTTGGATTGATCCTATAGAATGTCGGCCAGAAAGAAATAACCGTGATCTGGTCGTTTCTTGCAGCAGTGTTCTTGTTTGTTCCGCACGATGTTTTTGTTCCGTTGGGGGCCTTATATCTTTATATACATATATAGACCGATCATGTAAAATATTTGATTATGTGACTAGCGCCTGTGGATTTTATGATATGTAATGGTTGTTTAATGTTAGCCACATTGATAAAAGATGAGTACGTGCAATTTCATAAGTAAGTGTTCCATCAGCATAAATCAAGCAGGCTATTAAAAATAAGAAATGTACATTTTCGCCATTTTTTAAATGCTAGTAATAAACTGTTATTATTGTTTTTAGATTGTAATAATTTTTTTATAAAAGCAGACATTTAATCTAATTTAAAATGTAACCATTATAGTTTTCATTATATGTTTATAACTTTCAAGGATGTCGTTTCTCTAAAACAGAACATATTACAAATCGTGCGTTTTGCCTAAGAAGTGTCTTCTGTTTACAAAATTGTTATTAAAATGTTGCCATTTTTAATGATTTTAAAGGAATTTCTATCCCCTTTCATTAAGCATTGTAGTATGATGAATTATACAAATTCTGGCTTGTGTTGGCTGATAGATTGCCCCCAAGTCAATAATTAAGTTTTCCACCCAATTACTGGGGTTATTGATCGTTTTTCTATTTACAGAAAATGTATATATTTAAGTGTATAGATTCACCAAACAGTCACACATTAGTTCCTGCAGTTTTGTATTCACCAAAGAGCATTGTGCAGCAGTTAAAGGGATTCCTAACAGTAACAGTCATTCAACTGATATTTTCTTCTGGTTTGCTTAATTTTACATACTTATTGTTTGTTCAACTATTCTAGGAAATAATTGTATCACTTTATCTTACTTACCAGATCCACTGATATCTTTACAATGCTTGTTACTGTGACACAGCTTACCATGTGGGGCACACACACAATGACCTTCACAGGAAAAACTGTCACATCGACGTACAAGCTCCATTATCCCTCCAAACAAGAGATTGAATTGCGAATGCACTATTTCACTAGAAAGTCCAACCTGTCATTGTAAAGTTTATATCTTGAAATATCGTTTATAATGAGATCAATAGTAACAACATTAGCAATAACAATACGTAGTATTGTTATATTAAATTTAATAAAGTTAATGTAAAAAATCGATTTTCTGAAAGCAAATATATTTGATAAAATGCACAGTTTTATTTATATTTTATATTTGAATTGAAATATCAAATTTGTATCTGTGTGTCATATACACTTAATGTGATAAGCTCCAGTTCAATCATATTCAGTAAATATATAAGAATAATAATTACGTGATTATTTGCTGAAACACTTATATAAACTGTCATGTTTTGTCTCAGCCTTTGTGTATAAAATTTGAACGTCTGAACCTTTCCGTCTTCATGAAACGTTGCATTCACATCGTGGTTTACAATCATTGGTGTATAAGGTACCTGTACATTTTTAAAGAAAACATTCTTAATGGCATATCGAGATAGAGTAAATACATGGTTATTATTACTTATGACACTACGCATGACGTGCACATTAACAATATAGAGTTTCAAGAGTTTATTTCAAAGTACATTTGGGCAATATGCCCATGCATACACAGTACATATAACAAAGCATACAATACAATCAAATGGTCAATGTCACAACTTTATAAAACATACGTCATTAAGTTACACAGTATTTTTAGCAATCAGAAAACGTTAACTATAAATAGAATATACTATCAACATGTCTCAATTCATATACTGGTAAATAAATACTAAGGACAGATACCATCCTAGCTATTAATAAGAAGTAAATCACAAAACAAAACGAAAGTAAGTGTATGTAAGAAACAGTGATACAGCGTTTGGGACAAACTTTTGATTAACTGTAAAGAATAGTGTTTCGAACATCGAAAGCTTTAAATAAATACATTGATAAGTTTCTAATTTCTATTTCATTTTCTGAATTCATCAATGTAACAAATTTAGGTATATTTGATCTTTTCCAAAAGTGTTTTTTTATATATTTTTTTTTCGTAATTCATTATATAGAGAACATTCTAAAATAAAGTGAAATTCATCTTCCAAAATAAAACAATTTTTACATTTCCTATCATCAAAAGGTATAGCACTAGGTTTATTCCATCTGCCGGTTTCAATCTCGAGTCTATGTGAAGAAACTCTTAGCCGGGACAGAGCAATTCTAAATATTTCAATATTAATACAGTTTAGATACTTTTGAAATTTAAAATCTGCAAATATTACATATGTACGCGCTCTAGTTAAGTTATTTATTTCTGAAAACCAATTTTGGATAAAAACGTCATTTACTCTTATATAAGAGGAACATTCACGACACATTGTGACAGATGCCTAATTCCGGTGACTTCAGAAAATTTATAAGTGGCATATATCTTAAGTCTCTAAGCAATAAAATTAAAGAGTAATGTAATAAGATTCAGTCACAGATATAATTAATAACATCTAACCCTTACATCACACGTATATAGAATTAAGTCTATGCTACTTTATATCTGTTTTTTTTTACTAAATGCCCATTATATCCCAGTATGCTTTTATTTTAATTTCTCAGAAGCTTTTATTTTGGCTATCCTGTTATAGTTTTCAAAATGTTACTCATTGGCCAATAACCAGAACCATCTTGTTTTTCCATCTTGTTTTTTTTTGTTAATTTGTACAGTTACAGTGATTACGTATTTTGTATGAAAGTCAAATGGCTACTTTGTTTACAATTTACTACTTTTATGACAAATAATTTGACATTCAGCGCAACTTTCATCTGGTGACAGACATCTATTTTGCTCTAAAACCATTATCTAAACATAGTAAAAATCATATTTGCCCATTCCTAAAGAAGTCAAAATAAATCGATTCTGAGGCGTAATGTGCTTTTAAACTATTAGATCAAAAGTAAAACAATGCCAATAATAATTATGATAAAAAACTGCATGCATTTGTTTATACGTTATACCTCATTTAAATCATTGCCCTTAAACTGACTACCAAAGTTGACGTTATATGAATGAACATCTGAGTGTAAATCCTCAAAACCGAGCCAAGCAAGATTAATAGATATGGTTGTCCATTTCATCCAATCTTCAGGCTGTCTGTCTAAAGCTGCCGCGTGGTCAGTATTGATGGCGAATGTTCCTGGTCATGTGCAATAAATAAATTCTCTTTTAAGATATGTAGAGGATATTCATTTTTTTTTCTAAATACAGGATTTATTTTCATCGAGTGGTATGAAAATAAATATTTCATGAGTAGCGGTATCGAAAATATATCGTGTTAACCAGTGAAAATACGGAAAATATGTTTCACTGCAATAAAAAATATTTTTTTTTACAGTGAAAATAAGAAAAATATTCATCAATATTTCTAAATATTTCATTTGTAAGTATAATATATATATATATATATATATATATATATATATATATATATATATATATATATATATATATATATATAAATAAATTTGGAGAAAATAAACGTTCATACAGTGCTAAAGTAATAAATACCCAAGTACTTTCGGCGTGTTATGCCTTCATCAGGGGTGTATTACATGTATAATGTGCGCATACACTCGAGCACAAAATCTCAATACGTGTGTACTGTATAGTATCAAAATTGAACTGTTTTGAAAGGTATTTTGTAGATGCAAATATTTTTCACAAACCTATATATATATATATATATATATATATATATATTATATATATATATATTATATATATATATATATATATATATATATATATACTCTTTAGTCAATTATTATATCATTTGTGTTTACTATCCTTTACAAACAACTATAAACTTTCTATATTTATGAATCACATTATCAGATAATAACTTAAACTTAGAGGCATACATTTTTATATACCTGAGTTTACCAATGAGGTATTTTGATACAGAATAAGACAACTTGGTGAATATAAGCCTAACACAACACTTGTTTAATAGGACAAGCAGAGGTAACAGCATTAACAAATATTTCAAAACTAAAGAGCTATATTTCTTATCCAACATTACCTGGTGTGGGTCGAGTGCTATCTACTAGAATATTTGCAAGTATTGATGTTGAACACAGATTAGCACCATTACAGGATATCAGTTTGATGTCGTAAAAACTACCATCGTGGAAGTCAAGGTCAGTGAATGTGTAATCTCTCACAATGCCCTCTACCTGTATCAGATCAAGATATTTTTTTATTTATTTAGTTGAATACATTAACACATATAATAGTTGGATATTATAAATTAAAAAGCATAAAAGTTCCCAAATGATGAAATGATGACAACAAAATTTGAAATAACATACTAATAATTCTTTATTTTGTATTTTATTTTACCATATTTCATATACTAAGCTTAGCTTAGGGAAACTAATTGTCACTCTGTACATACTTTGGTGGAAGACAAATTAAAATCTCCACCCATATGTGAAGATATAGAAAGATGTTGAGATTCAATGAATGACTCTTCATCTTTGACATCCCAATAAACTCTTAGAGTCGTCCTTGACACGGAAGTTCCTGTTTTGATAGTCCCGATTGGTGACATTGTAAGGTTTGTTGTAAAAATTGGCGGAGTATCATCAACAATAAAACCATTCGATGTCGCTTCGACATACATTCCTAAAGGAAAATACATTGTACACATATATCAAATGATATTCAAAATCTGTAAATATTTCATTACCTGTGTCAACTGGTAATGTATTTAGTCTTATAGATATGGAATAACATGCTTTTGAAAACAATATTAGCAATATGGATATAGGAAACAAGAAGCTGCGTTTTTTAGAATATATATCGTTGCATATCAAACATTTCTCTTAAATTTACTAATTTTGAATGTGTTGTTGAAAAAAGACTGACTATTAGTTTAAGATGAGCTCTACCTCATCATTGCAAAGTGGAATAAGTTATAATTTTCTATTCCAAGTCATTCAATAAATTTTAAATATAACTGTTTACAGCCCAAACCTGATATTTAAAAATACGGATCATTTCTGGACAATCTATTTTTGAATGCAAAAATGTAGATATTTGAGTTCACACAGAGAAGATATGTTATGCTTTAAACTCTACACACTTTAAGTAAACACAGAATGTTAATAAAAACTCGCGATGTTTTTATAGAAAAGACCAAATTAACCTCGCAAGTTATAGGGAATGCAGCTTCCCAAACACAGTTTGTGTATTCTCTTATACATGTATTTAGTAAGAATTTTCTACATTTTAATAAATTTCTTTTTATAAAAGTATTTTACTTAAAGATGAACCTAGTATTTGTATATAGAAGATATATATATAAACTATGTAACGAATAGTGTCATTTTTCACCTGCTCGGTTATAAGCGCGCACAGTGCAGAAGATGCGAACTCCTTTAGGTAGAGTCTTTTTATATTCTGAGTGTAGATCAAAAATAAAAGCCTCCTCATGCCTATGAACATCTTTAGCAGGTAGTATATTGTCACCACCTTTTGTTGTCCCTACTCTCCATACATAGTGTGATATATCCGACTGTGGATCAGTAAAACTATCCCACTCACAACCGATATAGTTCCTGGTAAATACATGTATATATAGATATAACTATTCATTGTAACCAACTGAAATAATAGAATATCGAAATCTGTATTGAAATTGAATTATTATATGATTGCTTTAAAACAAAAACGTCGCGTTCAAACAAAGAAACTAGTCATTACTAGTCTTTAGTGGTTATAGCTTTTTAAAAAATCAAAACTCCATTTCATATGAGTTTGATAAAAATGACAACATTGTTTTATGATGCTTCTATTTAAAATTCCTGACCTTGATGCTTGATATTGTAACTCAGTTTCAAATGGTCCGTCTGTCACTATTCCGCGTATTGGTGGAGTTGAATCTACGACAAAGCCATCTGATGTCGCAGATGAACAAAGTCCAGCTGTGTTACACGCCGTTACAGTCACATAATAGTGAAGTCCTTCCGACAGTTGTAGAAATGTGAACTCAATACCTGCAAAAAAGTAAAACAAGCACAAAATAAAAGTTATGATGGATAAGCCATTTTCAAATTGAAATTGCCTCGTTACGTTGTATTGCTTGCAAAAATATTTAATACATTTTATGTACAATTTGCTTTGAATCTTGCTGTATTTTTTTTAATTAAATTTTCGGCATTTGTAATGTCTAAAGAATGACACATAAAATTGCTAATCTTTGTCAAACAACCTTTGCTTTGACGATAAAATAAGATTCTACCTTAAGCAATCAATATGATTTTAAAACTTAATACACCGATGTTGTACCTGTCTTTATACCGATCGATTGTTTTACCAAGACATCTTCACAATCTTTGCAAGACCCTATATTCACAAAATATTCTACCATGGTGCTGTGTGGGTCATGAAAACCTTTCCAATGAGCCTTCAACGTGGAATGATTTTCTATATAATCGACATCAATGCATGTCCCATCTTTTCCAGGTGGACCATCGTACACTTTACCAGGAATTGGTGGTGTTGCTTCTACTGTAAATGCCCAGGATGACGTTGCAGCGTATAAACCAGCTTTGTTATGCGCCTGAAATGCAATTAAACGATAGACAGACCTTTGACTTAAATGTATCAAAATATATTCCTTTTAAAAGCTTTGGAATATATAATAATGACAGTACAGACAGTAAGAATAATATAATGAAAAGAACAATGTTAATGCAGCATTAATTATAATGAGTATTAAAATGAAACTTACGCGATATAGCCGTGGTATTTTCATTACTATAGTCAGTTTCAAGTAGCTTTATTATAGTTATATAAAATATGTTCAGTTATGCTGGCATACAAATGAGGAAAAAATTTCAAATTTGATTAAGCGCAACTTTGAATATGTTTTTATGTATGTAAATCTGGAATAATGGTTACCTTCACAGTTATATAATAAGCATGACCCTCTTTTAATGTCAAAGGCTTGTTTTCCGGTGTTTTTGCACACTCTTCTTCTGTACCATCAAATGAAAATTTGTCGTCAAAGCCGGGATGTGTACCTACTCCCCAACTATAATGTGATATTCCGCTTTCCGAGTCAACAAAAACATTTGTCCAACTAAAACCATTATTTAAGTTTGTTGTGAAAGCATTCATGTATTAAACAATAACACTTTACATCGACATAGTTAATACACCAATGCCAAAATCATCAAATACATAATTATTGATAATAAAGTGCATTTTGTTCGTTCGAATTTAAATTGAAATAAACAATGTTGTCACTAAACAAATTGATTCAATGATTCAAAATGGTTATAACCACAATGTGAGATGAAATTATTAATCATAAATGAAACGTATATTAGGTGTGACCGTGGCCGAGTGGTTAAGGTCGTTGACTTCAAACCACTGGCTAATCACAGCTGCACATGGGTTCGAATTCCGCAATTTACTTTGACATATCTTGTCAGGAAGCTATCCAGCTAGCTTTCGGAACGTAGGTGCCCATTTATCCCTGAAATAATGCAGGCCTTCTTTCACCAGTAAAGTTCAAAAGTCGCAATGCCACCTATACTGTATTGATAAGATGTCTAACCAAAGCAAAAATTATGCACAACTGAAATATGGATTCCGACGTACCAAGCTTCTACATAATCTGTGTCAGAGATATGCCTTGATGGTAATGTTATTGTTCCGTTTAATAATTGTGGTGGTGTTGTGTCTATCTTGATACCGTCTGACTTCGAATTCGAAAACTGTCCCGTAAAGTCGTAAGCTTTAACAAACATAAATCAAACAGGTTATGTTATATTCATCATGCATAGTGTTTACACGAAGGCTTGAAGAATGCAGCGATTAAACAATAGTTTTGCATTATAATATATACCTGCCAGAATGTATACAAAATAAATTTTGAAAATGCGTCGCCTGTCTGAATGATTTCGATGTTTCATCAACCATGCAATCTAGCTTTTATTTAAGACAGACTTAAGGACTTTTAGAAATAAATATTACTTTTTGACAAAAATCTTTCACAAACGTTTAGTCGACATTCTCATTAGTTTGGTCTGGTGTATTTCGTATTACAAAGGTATACGTATATAAGTAGTTTGGTATTGAAATAGTATAAACATCAGTGTAAGAAATAGACATATGCTATATCATTTTTCATGAAGATGTAGACATAACATCATTTTGTTGACATTTTAAACGTCTAAAACATATTCAATATCTTAAGGTATTACCCATAACTGTAGCAAAGTACGTGTGTCCATTTTGTAGCTTAAGATCATGGAATGTCCAATGATTTGTTAGTCCAACATCTGTGAACGGTTTAATGTCTACACCACCAGAGGTAGTTCCTAAAATGTAATGAAACTTATCAGAGCAAACAAAAGTTTAGTATTTCAACCACATAACTAAGTTCACTATATATGTGCCCATGTAGCTTCAAATCCTGTCAGGGGCTTTAGATTATTTCATGTGAGGAAGCTATCCAGCTAGTTTACGGAACGTCAGTGGTTCTATTCAGGTGCCCGCTCGTGCCTGAAATAATGCACATGAGCTTTTATTCCATGGTGCACCAGTAAAGCTGAAAAGGTACCATATGCCCTCTAATGTGTTGGTGCAACTTAAATATAAAATAAAACTCCAAAACCTATGTTTGTGAAAGACTAAGTTTTTCTGTGTAAAATGTTTTAATGAAGTGTGCACGTGACCATTCTCTTAAGGATTATGAAAGAAAATAAGAATGTAAGGATGTATGCCGTTATTAATTATTTTGCTTTTAAGGCCATAGAGATTATTAAATTAACGTTAAATGTTAATAAAACAACACACAGCATAGTCGTAGAAATAAAATCTATGAATAATTAATCGGTGAAATTCGGTATAGTTTCACTCAGCAAGGTATGTGATTAATTGGAATCTTTTAGTCTTTTCAGAGATAAAATATAAATGGATTCCTGAACAACTACAAAATTAATCAAAGCACTGAATGTACTGATGGGGAGGCTATGACAGAATGTTTCAGACTTATAGTTTCTTTTCTTTTTGTTAAAATGTGCTGTTAAATAAGAAGATATGCACATTGCGCCATTTATCGTTCAGCCATTCATATAAATGGTTAATATGGTTGACTATTCATTTTGTTAATATTCCAGAACATTTCATTGAGGTCTACATTCGGATTGTTAAAGAAAAACCTAAAAACCATTTATAAATGACATACCAGCAGGTATGACGACTGTTCATTATAAGATCATATAATACCATTTTACAACTGACGGTTCCTTATCAAAAAATATTCCTAGGATGTTCATCATAAATACTTTATGTCATTTTAATATCATTGAATGATAATAACAACTGCAATTAAGCAACATTTTAATTGAACATAAAAATTATACATATTTACATGTACCATAATTGAGATCAATAAGACACTGTCTTGTGATGAGTATTAATATTCATGCTCTACGGACAGAAAGTTGTCTTTCCCGAAGCAAATCTCGAATAAAATCACGTTTCAGAAAAATTATTCCCATTTCATTACTCGTCGCTGACTTTGACGGTTTCGGATAATATTAAAGCTAAATATTTCTTGAAAAAAATACATTTCTGCAAAGCTTATTCAAAATTGAATCAAAACCTAGTGAAAATTGATCAGGAAGTTAAATATCTTCTTTTTTTATCTTCTTTTTTTTACCGCCAACACTCAACCAACTTATGGATTTGAAACCTCAGCTAGCTTGAAAATATATACTGCGGAAAATCTGTTTGTTAACAGAGGGTGTGCGGTTATTACGTTTGGGTTTTCCTTGTCGGCCATTTCCCGCAAATAGATGAGAACATCGAAGCGTCAGTGCTAATGAATGGTGTTATAAATAGCGTGTTTTGGAGGTTTTTTGTTGAAATTTCTCCAAATCCCTCCAGAGGTATGCACGTCGCGGAGAAGGCACACGGCAAGGTCAAGGTCAAGTCATCTCAAAGTACCAGAGGTGATTGGTTGACCTGTCGTAACTTACTCTGGAGGTTTGACGCTAATGAATGCCGTTTTTGTTGTCGTCAGTCCAGGAAGTTGATGCCTTGACAATACTGTCGTCTCCTTTACCACTAACGAACGAAGAAAGGGCTTACCAGGGGAAGATTCTGCTTGAAAAAGACGTCGCCCGATGCTATAATCTCGGACATATGGTTATTCCGGTGCCGAGAATGAATGAACTTAAAACACACACTCCTTGTTGAAAACAAAACAATAAAACAACAACATATTTTTCTGTAGTAATTTTTTCAAGTGTTGTAAAATGAAAACGAAATTCGTCTTATGCCGCCAATTCTTTTTAGAACACAAACATATAAGTTCTTTTTATTTGATTTATTCAAATAAACATTAATCACTTCAGCGCGCGCAAATATCATTTTCAAATTAAAATTTCGTATGGTATGTTGATGAATTTCCCATGCTCGACTGTAAGTCATTCGTATATATATGCGTTTTTTTATGTTTTGTTTTTAAAGTTTCTTATTCTTTAATATTTTTATGTATCTCATAATCTGTATTGAAAATTTTATCACACACGAACTATCAAATTATGATTCGTTGCCCTAGAATTGAATAAACTTTCTAATTACACAATACGGGGTCATTCATTTGATTGAAGACTGATCTTTGCGTCTTTCTCTGAAATAATTATTTCCTTGTTAAAACATATTTGACCACATATTTCTGTCATTTAACTGTTCACTTAACTTCCGATTTTTGTTGTACCGAAACACATGTTTCTATTTGTGTTTTCTATTCGAATCTATAATCAGTTTAATGGGATCACCACCGGGTAAACGACTACTAGGTACTTTTGGTCATGTTTTTTACCCCAAATATTTGAATGTTTTCTATTGGGATTAAAATGAGCGTAGATAACTAAACTGCTGGTTGTATAAATCCCTGACCTGTCTAATTCTAATTATGAGATTAGTGGATATATTAAGACTTTCACTACAAAATATTCCTAAACAAAAGAGCACATGTTTAAATTTATTCCTTTACAAATAAAAGATCAGAGTAGGGATCTGTCAATTGCCAGACATATTTTTAAAAAAAGATACTTTTATGTTAAAAGTTTGATTAATGAATTATGTAAGATGAAAATATAAGTATTGCTTGTTTTTTTTTTTTTTGCTAATATTAAATGTAATCTTTTGTGGTGAAATTTTGTCGGAGGGTCCTTACGGATTTTGTAGTTTAAATAGTTTTTTTTTTCGGCGAATACATGGTTTAAGAATATAATGTTTTCAAAACTATATGTTCATCACCATTAGTGAATTTTTAGTTAAATGTATGCAAAATATTTACTAACAGCTATATGATATAGCGGTTTATGAGCGTTTTCCGCGTACAGCCTCCTAAGGTGTACTAATAAGTTAGTTTTCCTTAGTTATCACGCAAGCATGATCCATGTCTCTGATGTAAGCGACAGTTTACCATTATTTGTCTTTAAAAATATTAAGGACTATTAATGGTTTATAACAACAAAAGAACATGCATGATATTGAGACTACGGTGTTTGCAACGTTCTAGTTAATGACCCGTCATAAACAGTTGGTCGCTGCGTAGTAATTGGAAAATTGTTATCAAAAATAATAAAGAAATTTTTGCCACCTAATTAAAGCATTTACCTATAAATTTTCATTTATGCTTTTTGTTTAAAACATATTGATAAAGTTATTATATAGAAGGGTTTTTTCATACCAGAACTATTTATTACCAACGCACGTATGCCTAAACCTGATTACCCGCGGCAGTATGACGTCACGGAGTAGTGATTTTGAAAAAATAACAAACAAAAATCAAGAATTTTTCAGAGAATTATTATCTTTTACAAATCGCAGATATGAAATAAAAGTTCATATTGTAAATGTCTGTGATGAGTGATGAGTCAGCTTAGAAAAAATCAAGGTACTATTTTTTGACCTGATTACCGCGGCAGTAAGATTTGACGGACAGTTATTAACATTGGGTAGGCATAGCCTCCCCAAAAAAATGTGGGAAAAAAAATAAAAACATTATAGGGGAAAAAAAAACAGACTATTGTTTCCTTTTAAGGCGACCTGTTGTGATTTTATACCACTGATATGAGGGCAAAAATCCCCCCCTCTTCAACGTCTATAAACCCGATTTCCAATAAAAACTGTCATCTTGATTTTGGGATGTCAAAAAGTTAAAAGAATCGAGACGTTTAAAATTAATTGTCTTTTGTAAGGAAAAATTTGGAACAAATGAAAAATTAAAAAAAATTGCCCTTCAAAATAATTCCCTTTTTCCCCAGGATTTAAAAAAATTTATCATTGAATATACATGTATGACAAAATAAAGATGATGTGTTTTCTAAACCCACTCCCTTTCTTTTTTTATCAAAACTGACAGATAACCGTTTCAATTAACTTTTATTTAAATCATATAGGTATGCTTTATTTTTGTTTAATTTGCTATTTTTCCAATATCGTGGTTCTTTCTTACTAAGATAAAGATAAAACAAGAAAAGCTATTCTGTAACAGATGAAATCAAATTTGTAGTTTTTTTTCGATACCAGTTTTACCTAAATCGTCAATATCTTTCAAACAAGATGTTACACTTTTTGTTACTTTTTGTATTTGCGTCAACAATACAATAAAGTTTAATAGTGAAAAGAAGACATTGTCATTTAAGCAACCTATATCTACAGTTTTTTTATTTCATATATCTGTAACCATTCAAAGAAGCATTACTTTTACTAGATAGACCACGTTCAATTGTTTTTGATTAAAAGTTTTAAGATGAATCATATAGCTGTATTTGAAAGTCGGCCCGCTTTCGCTAAATAGTTGTAAAATCAACATCTTAAAGCTGAAAATAGTTCCACTACATTACTTGAAATAAATTGTTTTTCTCATTTCCTATCCACACATCGGCTGCAACTGGTGGTGTAAGATCAACTGTTATTCCATTGCTACATTCGTCTATTTCCTGTAATTCCTGATCCCAGAACTCATGTTCTATCTTAGATGCGTTAGCGTGAATGCAGATTATATATCGACTTCCATGGGCGAGTTCTCCAGAATTGAATTCAACGTTGACAAATTCATGTTCTTGAATGAAAGTATTGTAAGCTTTGAATATACTTATTTTCTTTTTAAGGTGTTATTTCACAAACTTTTTATATAAAAATTCTGCTCAATGAGAGTTTAATAGTATTTATATATCTCTTACTTGAGGGTGTATAAATATCAATTTTATTTACAAACCTGTCTGACCACATTTAATAGCATCGGGATGTTCGCAGGGGTCATCCAAGTTCAACTTTCTTGACCTGTCGTAAAACACCGTTGGGTCGTTTACCTTCACTAATAGTACCGCCCATGTGTATTGTGAATGTCTGCGAGAAATAAGTATATCACAATTTTATTATAATACTTTTTTATGTTAGCAATAACAAAATTAACAATAAATTAAGTTATCATTTGACATTTTTGCGCTTTGGTAGTTCTTTTGACACGAAAACCACGGTATTCAACTGTTGTTTGCAACAATTGGTATCGTTATTGTAATACCAAGAAAACGTTACCATCATTTTTGAAATAGTGTAATTATATTTCAAAATATAATAAAACAGATGCTAAAAGATAGTTTGAAATATTTATTTACCTTAATGTCGGCCATACTGCACTAAGCATATTACTGTACGGGGTATAATCTATATCTGATTGTTTCCATATATCATTTTCATCCAGGAAAATTTCTTTACCAATGTGCTTATTTTCTGTAAAGTCAAATGTTATGTTCATTTAAAGCTTTTGAAATTTCTGAAATAAATAATTATCCTTTTAAAATATATTTTTCTTCACATTAAAGTAAGGCTTTTGTTACCTTTTATACATACTAATACATACTTTAATACTGCCTTATCGTTTTTGATCTACTTTATTGTGTTGAAAATGAATGTATTTTGTTTGCTTTCCTGGATAACCACCAGTTATTTCCATTTTCTTCACAAGTGACAGACTATTAATTTAACTTTATGTGTAAATCAGCGGCTAGAGACAAATTACCATTACACTTAATGTCTGGGGTCAACTGTCATGGAGAAATTACGCCTCTCTCTCGAGATCGAACCATCGACCTCCGATTTACTAATCCGATGCACATTTTATTTAGCTAAGCACACCGACATAAAAATTGTCATTTTCTTTTTGACAGTTCAAAGGTAGAATAAAGAGCATTTTAAGCTTAAAACAGCTTAAACATACACTAATAACTTTTTTTAAATACACGTTCGTAGCTATAATAATTATTGTATTTACCTGTTGATAAAGGTTCTCCAACGGCGTCTATAACTACTGACGGTCTGACTTGTTGCAGGTCACTACAGTCTCTAATTTCTGATGATTTTGTAGCTGACAACCCAGCTTTAGTATATCCTCGAATTGTCAGAATCCAACATTTCGTGAATGTTATTTTTTCTTTGAGATCTATGCTAAAAGTAATCTGCAAATGGAATATCAAATTAAATTATCAATTAACTTATGTAAACTATGCATGTAAATACCTATATAACATACATTTTATTTGTGAATATGTACACACAGGTTTTCTACAGTAATATATTTCTTAACTTAAAATGGTAATTGACCAATAATTGAACTACCTAAATTATAAAAAGACTGCCCTACATTTTTTGTAAGAATAAAACATTACCGATACATTCATAAACGATATTTATAGAAATACCCGCGAGTCATGTAGATAATTCATCGTTTTTGCATATCAAAACCTAAAATTGAACACATTTAGGGCAAAAGGTAAAGTTTTTCTTTTACTTTGACCTAGGCCAAACCATTGACACTTGAATGGGCATAATTTCACTTTAAAATCAATAAAATTGGAGAATAAAGTGTAATATACTATGACTTAATCTGATATAAACTGAAAAAGACAACAAGTCTGCAATAAATATAATAATGGTTTCATTTCTAAATCTTTATATAAGAATTGTACAACAATATTCTGTATATAGTCTGTATGTCACTTATCACTTCTATACTCTATACATACTTGATTATCATCTTTGGATGGTTTATATGAAAGCCTTGTCCATTTTGTCAGTAGACGACCTAACACAGATTCATCTGCAAAGGTCCATTCATAATGATCCATGACTTCTTTTGAATTAGCAGGATCTTCAATATCTGAATCTCTGAATGGGTCCATACTGACTTCAATCTGACATATATTTTATTATATTATTTTACTTTGGAGACTTGAGAACTAATCGTTATATCACTAAGCATGGTAGGAAATGGAAATGTAAAGTCTTGTGATCAATGACTGATTTTTATGTATCAAGAAATTAAGAAGCATTTGGTAAATTAACTAATTTTATTCATCATATTTCATTTAATTTTCGCTGTGTTAATGTCGAATTGAAACTAATTTTGAGAAATAAAAATGTGTTTACAAATTATCAGAAAGGAAAATTATGCCTAAGACATCCATATTTATTTTAATTCTTATAAATGTCAAAATGTGTTTAAAGCAGCACGCCTCCAGATTCCTGCTAATGTTCATGAAAATTTTGAAAATGTATTCAAAAGTAAAATATTATTAAGCTGACAGAGAAAATAATATGCACACTTCAAACGGCACTTACAATCAATGTAAATTACAAAAAATAGGTCAAAATATGCAAAAATAACCCTTACTGCGTTAGTAACGCAGTAGAAATATGGTGGAAATTACTGAAAAATTGGCCATTAATCGCAAATAACATGAAAATTATTACTTTTATCTTTCGTCTTTTTACTTTTCATAAAACCCTAATACATTTTTCTCAAGTTTTATTTTCTTGAAATATTTTGGCTCATCTGGAGGCATGCAGCTTTAATAATGTTTGTAATAATGGATTAAGTACATGCTAGATGTTTTACAACTTAAAAGGGATCGCTAAATAAGAAAATATGTCGTAAATGTAGCAAAATGTAAACAAAGTAGATTTTGACTTCCATACAAAATAATAATTTACCATAATTATACTAATTGCCTTCCGAACTAAAGATGCAAAAGATAGTTCATGTATATAGCAAATGAGTTTTGGAAACTGTAACAAGATACCAAAACTAAACAGTTTTGAGTAATACAAATGATGACATATTTTAAGGTTGAATGGGCAATTAAGTACTACTATTTATCACAGTATAATTATAAAATATAATAATTATGCTCGAACACTGTTATAAACCACCATCCTTAAAAATTGTGAAGTAAGAAGCCGATGAAACCAGATTTATATATGTACTTTTAAAATTGGTGGAAATTATCCGTGACCTCGGAAGGAACCGTAATTTGCTAATGTGCAGCATATTGGTCGATGCATAATTAAATCGCATTATGTTCGAAACAGGTATCATATATAAACAATAGATTAGATGAGTCCTTAATTAAGGGAAATCAGAGTCAATATAGAATCTTACAAAGTTTACCCGGTAGACCTAGTTCGTGTTTGCCGTGTTAATGTAATCGGGAAACTACCATATCAGCGCTAGGTACCGGATCGAGACACGGAATTAATGCTTGTTGGGCTCTCTTTTTGTAATAGTAGCAACACTTTATATATAAGGTATTCTTTGGTGATGATATATTAATTTTCAATATATTACCTTAACCTAATTACATTAACATTAAGAAGCTAAGAAGTTAAGACCGTTTTACTTGATAAGTAAGAATATAGGTCAATAACCCTATTTGGGTTTTAGCCTAGGGCGAGGTGCATATTTCTCTGAAATATTGTGTATGAAATGATTTGTACTACAAATCTGATTCATATGTTATTTGCGACAAAGAGGCTCATTGAGAAAAATTGTGATAAACTTTTTGTCGCTATATACTTAAAAACTATTGAAATAATAATTAAAATAATAATAAAATAATAAAAAAAATATTTGTCATTAAAGTCCTTCAAATAAATTGTCTTAAATGGCGATGTTTTTACTACATACCATGATTTATTCTCTTTGCTATGCGTTGATTTTGATCTGTATTGTCACTTTGAATTGTTTTTTAATCATTTTGTTAATCATAATATCTTTTTTTTAAGTAGATGTATGTTAGAAATATATACAAGACAAATAAGATCAAAACTTATGAAATACGTACTAATGTTGTATTTGCAGTATATGTAACAGTCACATTCCCAGTAACTGGAGGATTTGGGACAACAGTAACACCATCACTATGTACAGGTTTGAAACAATATTTTCCTGCACAAAATTTCAAAGATATCCTATATGATCGGCCAGGAGATAGGGATAAACCACTTTCTTCCATGAACGACGAACTTGCCTTCAATGGTTCATAGTCAGTATGGAGCCTCCATATATCTGAAACAGATTCATGGTCAAAATTAATTCGGCATAGCATGACTCATACTAGTATGATCATAAATATGATGAATAATAATTTTTTGTCCAAGAACAATTTAGTTATCTGCTATATAAATATATGTTATATCTGATCAAGTATCTCAAACTTGCCAACAGCAGCCATATACAATTATTCATGATTTGTAGTTATGCCTGAAACTATCAACGTTATTATTTATTGTATTTCTAATCTTCTATTATACACACATTCACTTTAAATGTGTCGAATCTTGCTGTAATATCAACAAATATATTCTTTATAACAAATGAATCTAAAGCCAGACCATTTACGCATGTGATAAAAATCAATCATATAATTATGTTTGAAGTTTTTAAATTTTACTAGCAACTGGAGCACGTTCCTCTATCGCCCAGTGTATGTCATGCAGGAAATGTTCTTTTTCTGTTGGTATTGTCCAATATGCTTGCAGAACATTTGTTGATGACTGGAATTCTTTATCCTCAGTACAAGGTAAACGTTTGTCCTGTTTTGAAAAAAAAAGGATAAGATTTCTCTCTGCTTTTAGTAATCATACAGTCCCAGTTCAGCTTTCTAAATATATTTCTATTTACTTATTAAATGAGATATTGCATCAGGTGATGTTTTTCTCTCATTTCTCTCAAAGCTACTATTCGTTTCTAACATACATCAATCAGTTGAAATTGATTTTAAATCATTGTTATCGATATCATAGTTTACTTTAGCCAGGTTAATTGCATTGGTATTCATCACAAAGTCCATGCATACTATTTGACATTTTTAAAAGGAATACGAATTTCACATTTTTGGTAACCATACATGTATAATAGTCTGATTTATAAGTATGATATGTACCTCATCATGATGTGACGTAGTATGGTTAAGATCTGAAAAGAGGTTGATATAAAAAGATAAATGACCGTAAACCTTTTCATTTACCTAATGCATTTTATAAAATCATAAAATTGAAAATATAGTTTAACAGATACATGTATGTACTTGTAAAAATTTCATATTAATGACAAATAATTTTAATTAAAGCAGATTTCTTATTGACGGAAAACATTAAATAAAATGATACATACCATCAACTAATGAATCATTACAACGAGCGCCATCAAATACTTGTATCCCCTTTATTTCCCCACCTTCCTCAACAATTGTAATACCATCAGATACTGCTGTCGTATTTCCTGCTTCGGTTTCGGCTATAACAATTTGGAAATATGTCTGGAAACAATGTTTCAATAAATTTAAAGATGAATAAAAGAATAAAAATGATACAATACATGTATATTTGTAATGGCAAAAATGTTTATATATTATAAGTCAGTATCTGACATGCAAGCGAGAAAAACTTCAGATCTAATTGCTTCAACATAGAAAATACCATTTCATATTGGATTTTAGCCTCTGCTTTGTTTAAATATAGTTAACTGAAGAATTACCTGATATGGTTTTAGATTAAGACCATAAAATGTATGTCTATTGCCAGAATCGATATTTGCACATGTTACGATATCTTTGATAGTAGTGTTAGAAATGCAAACAGTAAAGTTTATATCTTCATGTGGGTGCTCAAAGCCTGACCATCTGGCTGTTAATTTAGAGGTACTTGTCTGATAGTCGATGTCATCAATGTCAACAAACTAAAATAATACATAAAAGTTAATAACTTTATACAAGAAAAAATATGCACCAATTCTTAACTAAATAAATGGATATTTCATATACAAGTAAATGTAAAAGTTGGAACATTAATAGTCAACTATCACGCAAAATTAAAGAGTGGTGAACGATCGATTTGCTCGAGTCCATATGGTATATATAAGCTACCATTGACATCTGGTACAATTACTTTAAACACAATAAGGCAAAAAAAAGATAAAATTAGTAAAATTTGCAGTTTGATTAATACGGTGGTAATAAATGAAAATTCCCAAACAAAACGCTTTTTTGACATTTAATGTAAAGCATGCAAAGCAGCGTATTTCCATAAAATGTGTGTGTGTATAAAACACGAAACATGTAAAAAAGCATTACTTGAACAAAAAGGAAATAACACCAAAAGAAAGAAAATATTTGAGATAAAATTTTAACACCTGAGTAATTATTCCGTCGATGTCATGAACAATGCCCCTCGATGCCATTTCAATGCTGTGTCTGTATGGCTTTGAGTAAGCCGTAACAAAGTGACCGGCCGTATCTCTTACTTTAATTGTTACAAAGTAGTCGAGTTCACCATGTAAGTGCCATGGAAGGGAATGAGTTGAAAAAGCTGCGCAAGTTGGTGGTGTATGTGAATTACAACTTCCACCAGTTAATATTTTGCTAAATGTAATGACGTCTTTTCCGTTTCTTGTTGTACCTGATAAACAAAATCAAAATTGAAACCTGATGATGATTGAAATTCCTATATAAACATGGTATATGTACAAAAACAACAGCAGTAGCAATACCAACAGCAATGTGATAAAAGCAATAAAGTGCACCTAGTGCATACACGTACCAATAGCTGCTTCATATTGCAGAGCATTAGGGTCTCCGTGGTCGGTAAATGAATTTTCATCCCACTTTGCCACCAGATACGTTTCGACCTTTGTATGCTCAACTGTAAGGCTGATTTCTCCAGTAAAATCTGGCTTTGAAGAGTCATAAACAAATGGCCCAATTATCTGAAATATAGTTCAGACACTTTAAATGTTTACATATTCATCTCAAGGTGTTAATTGATCATTTGTATGGGGTTTTTGGAACTGAAAATAAATAGTTCTTTCCGTAAAAGCTTAATTCAATGATCAATTTTATCCTTTTTTCTCATGTTAACAAATTTATATATACAGTCGAAAAGTAAAATGCACTAATATGAGTAAATAAATGAAACCTTACGTATTTAAGGAATATATTTATTCTTACCTGTGGTTGACATATACCTAAACTTTCTCACTGATGAAATATGGAAGAGTAAACATTCAACAATGCAATGCAATATATCTTCATATTATTTATTTTTCATTAATGATGGTTATTTATATCTCATTTAAACCATTCATATATTTGGTTTCATTTGAATTTTTCTCATTAATTAAGTATGTTTCATTTTAAATTTCCTCAACAATCCATTATATATAATATTTTTGTAAATAACTTATGAGTAAACCTTAATGTCAGTGACAGATGATTTAGTTATCGATTTGATTATGACATAAAACTGCTCCCCGTCAAATATATCAGGATGGAATATACGTATATGCTGATGATGATGCGAGGACGTGAAGTCCATAACATCCGGAAACTCTGAAATTTCAGATGCTATTCCAACTTCATAATCATGAACATTACCAGCTCCCAGAGTGACATTCCATGATATGTCGATCTACAATAGAAAACATTTTGAATTTTAATTGTTATACCTTGAAATATTTTAGCTGTTGATGATCATTTATTTTAGAATGTGTATTGGCTGTGTAAAGGAACAAATCGACTTTGATATTTTTTATTTGATTTAAAGATCAGGTATAGCCTTATTCAACATTTAAATTCAGTTTATTTCTTTGATTGATTTTCTGGTTTTACGCCGATTATAACGTATATTTTTTGACAATATCTTAGCAATAGCCTAGCGGCCGACAAAACGGACGACAGGCTTTCCTGGATATTTCTAGTAATTAAAAATTTCTGAATCAGCGTCAAAACAATTGACATTAAGACTCAATGTCCAAGATCAATTGTCAAAAAGAGATTTCGACAGCCCGAGAATCGAAATTTCGAACCCGGGACTTTTCACATTCTGCTAAGTGGGTGGTTATTTATGTATGCTTTTTTGTAATTTCAAGATCCTTTTTTAGTTCTTTCAAATCCGACATATATTTATGTTTCGATACAGATTTTTTAATTTTTTTTTAAATACTGATTACATTTAAGATGCGAAAACTTACAACAACTTACCTTTGAATCAGACGTGATATAAGATATCAAATCTGAATGAACGCCATGTAGCTCATTACACTCTTCATTTAATTCAACAACATCTACAGTTCCATTAGAACACCTTCTATGAGGGTATAGCTTTATGATAGATTCTTGAACTGCAGTTGCCTTATCTCTATAAATAACAATAAAAGTGTTGCAATGCATGAATGGTAAATAAAGGAAATACAACTGTTCTGAGTTAGAATATAGCACGGTATGGAGTTCAAAGAGAGATAGAGAGAGAGAGAGAGAGAGACAGAGAGACAGAGTGAGTGTTATCTTCTGTTGAAATCACGCTTCCGACCTTTGTTTGCATAAGGGGAATCTCCCATAGTGTTAGAATATGGAATTGCACAATATAATTCTATAAACTAATTTAATAAACTAATTTCTCGTTTAGTCGAATATAAGTGCAAACTTTAGCATAGTTACGAACCTGCAAGTTTTAGAGGGATTAGCAACTTCCTCCAATTCTCTGTTTCTATTGAGGACATACACCGTATCAGTGGCATCACTTTTGATAAGACCATTTGCCGTCACAGCATCGTGTAAAATAACTTCGGATACAGCAGCCGGTAAGTTATCAATCGTAACACCGTCAGAACAAACAGGTTCACTATGACCAATGGCGTGATTATATGCCATGACTGTGAGGAAATATTTGCCAGGTTTTGGTGCTATAAACTCAGCTGTACTTTCATACGTCCAATTAACCTGAATGGTGAAATAAGTATAGTCCAGTATAATATATGTGAACTTTCACATTTTCATTACTTTTTCAGGCAAACGAAATGCAATCCAATATTAAAGATGTATATCTTTACATCAATCTCACTGGACAGAAATCACAAATATATAGAATGGTATCAGATATTTTTAATATTACAGAAGCTTATAATAATAGCAACCTTAGTCAAAGTAAAAAAAAGATACATCTGTACCTATATTCTAAAGATACCTTAATCCATAAGATTTATTTGTGCTCTTCAGATGCAAGATTTTTCTCAAGCTAAAATGTCTATATTTTAGAAATATGTACTGAGAAACAAATGTATAGTAGTAGGTTTAGCTGCAAAATATTGCCCCGTACTTCACCTAATTTTATTGCTAATTATGGGTTTTCACCTTTTCAAAAGTATTATACTGCAATTTATCCTTACTTGTTTCTTAAAAAATATACAGTTAACATATTTTACATTTTGTTTACCTTTGAATATATATTAAGATCGTTTTCATCAAAACAGTTTTCACCAAATCCATATGAATATAACCAAACACCACTTTCTTTGTCGAAAAAGTCATTCCAATGCCCTGTTAGCTTTAGTGACTGCTGAAAATCAACTTCAGAATCTCCAGGAATACCATCATACACTTTGCCTTCGTGTGGTGGTGACGTGTCAATTGTTATCTTCGAAAACAACACATAGGTTAACTATATTTAATATGTTTTCAAGTGACTTTTAAAAAAAAGCTGTGATTTTTAATAATTTAATGTTTGTAAGCAGACTAAGATCACTGCGGATGATCAGTGACCAAAGTCGTACAATGGACTCATAAAATAGTGGCGTAATCGCTCGGTAAAAGCAGTGAAATTGAGGTAAGCATACAGTTAACGTTAAATTTATATGTAAAACTAGGACGCACGGAATCCCTGTATAAAAACCACGTACTGTTCTGTTATTGGTTACTTTGCAGCTCTCTCTGTTTAGGCCTAAAAGTCGAAAAAGTTGTTTTGGATGATGAGTACAATGGGCGAACAGGTACTAAAATGCGTTGTTTTCAGTAAAAGATACGCATTTTGAGCAAAATTAGCAATGACATCTTGTGTACATTTGCAAGTTTGCCCGTCATGGACAATTTCCATCCTTTGTAAAGTTGCATAACAAAGTTGTGCATCTTTTAAAAATAAAACGAGTACAATGGCCGAAGGATTTTATTGTCTGTCCTATTTCGTCATTTTTTTCATTGAATTATGCTTGTTTCTCGCTTCCTGTCTTTGATATCATACAAATATAATATTTGAAAGTGAAAAGTAGGAAGAAGTATTAAATTAAATGAATTCAGTCCGCTCAATGTACTCATCATCCAAAACCACTTTTTCGTGTTTCAGGCCTAAACAGAGAAAGCTACAAAATAACAGATAACAGAACAGTACGTGGTTTTTATACAAGCGTTCCGTGCGGCCTAGTTTTACACACGAATTTAACGTTAACTGTATGCTTACTTCAATTCCACTGCTTTTACCGAGCGTTAAGCCGCCATTTTATGAGCCCATTGTACGATTTTGGTCACGTGATCATCCGCAGTGTAAGATGTCCGTTCTGATTCGAAAGACGTATGTTAAACAGAAACTCTCTCAAAATTTCTTTCAAAATTTATACTAAAATCTCTGATCAATAGTATATAGAAAAACTTTTGAATAATCGATTCTACATGCGGAATAGTTACACTTTTACCTTAAAATATTAGAATGAAATGTATTTGACCTTTATTGCGATAGTGAATATAACGTTTCAAAATTTTATCATTGACTGTAAATGACTCAGACATATTTATACAATACCTTCTTATGTTTGGTTGTTGTAAGCCCAGCAATGTTGATAACAGTAACCTCTATATAATAGTCGTAATCATGGTCGCCTATCTCTTTACCAAAGTGTAAACCAGCATTGCTAAGGTTAGAAACTGGTGGTTTGATCTGATAATGTCTATGAAAACATCCATTGTACGGAGAACAGTAGCAGTTTGGTCCTCGGGGATATAAACCGTATTTTTGATTACACTCCTTTAAATCCTGTATGAAAATCAGTCAGTTCAAAATAAAAATATGTAAAAGTAGATTTTACCAATACATCTAAACATGTGACTTAATTACCTCAAAAGATTAGATGTTGGCAAATCTTTACTACTTTGAATGGTATGTCATACGCTGTTGTGAAATCATCTCTTGAAAGCATAAAATTTAGTCACATATTTTTTAATCTTTTAATTCAATGAAAAATTTAATAAATTTACCTTTGTTTCACCTTGTGGGGGTTCATTCGAATAACCATGGACAACCACATCTTTAGTAAAGTTATCAAATACTTTCCACGACACCTCATGTATGCCACTGTGATAATCAAATGTTTCCCATTCAATTCTGAAACAAAGAATAAATAAATCATAGATATTTAATTTTAGAAATATATAATATAATGCTAAATAACTGCATATTAATTAGTTTTCAAAAACTATTAATTAATTTATTTTTAATAGTTCGGATTTAGACGAGATTTTTACAAATCTAAGTTTTAAAACTTAATCATTAACAAAATGTTCAAACGTTTGAATAGAGTTAATGTTTTATAAATAGAAATTAGGTTAAACACATTTACGTCAAGAATTAAATCATCAATTCGAAGAATGTTTATATAATTATCATAAATAATTTACAAATGTACATATTGAATAAAATATATATCATTATACAATTATTGACTAGTATGTCATTGAATATGATGTGATATTCACAGGTAGATGACATATTGATCGAGGCAATAGCCGAGGTCATTATGACTTTCTGCCGGTGAATATCACATCATATTCAATAGGAAAGTAATCAATAATTGTTTTATTATATGAATACGCTATAAGAATTTAAAAACAATCACAGAAAGTACAATTTTTTTAATAAGCCGGCGTAATTGACCGTCTACGATGTATGGTCATTGAATATGAGTCTCAATCTATTTTTAGACTGGGAAAATCCAATTAAACCAGTGAATATGATACTTCATCCTATAAAAAAGTTATGTTGACTATTGTTTGGACCAATGAGATTGCAGCCATATTAAGATCATATAATAAAGCTAATTAATTACGTGAGTTCCTTCAATTCCAAAACACTATGAACGCTGATATTGACTAAATCTCCCTTTGTCAGCCACAAATTTTGTATAACTGGAGGCGACAGATCTATCATAACTGTTACATTGTCCTCGGCATATTCTCCAACAGCATCGTATCCACGTATACGATAGGTCAATTTCTTGCCATCGATTAATTCCTCATTCGTGTATATCATTTTCTGGCTATGAAAGTACTCATCAGGTACCCTTTGAAAACCACTGAATGTTGAAGAGTTTTGAAATTCGGTCAAATGTGCTATTTCGAAACGTATAACTCCTGCAACAATATTATTTTTAATAAACATTGTAAAATAAAGCATCTTAGTAAGAAAAATATTTCATTAAAATAATTAAAATTGTTTTCATCTGATTTCGAGTTTTAAAAACTTTAATAATTTATTTCTAGAGCGATATGCACTGTGTATATCATGTATGCAGACTATAAAAAAGTTACGTTATGCACAAAGGTTACGTCGAACCTGTACAACGCTTTGGCTGAAACAAGTATCAAGGTAAGTAAACGGACCAAGTATTTTATTGCAAATCAAATTCAAAGAAACGAATAAGCGCATACGGATGCTATGAACTTTGACCATATTTATATGTAAGAAATATTTTTTACTTTTTAGGATTTTTAGTGTGAATGCCGACCATTTTACCATTTTAAGAACGACTTTTGGGTTTCGTCGAAATAACTTAAGTAAAGAAACGCATGTAAAAATCGTTATTGTTTTTATATTCGATACACGTTAGACATTCGTTCAAAATCGTCTCAAATTACCTTTATCTGCTAATTTTAGTGTACTATATCACACGTAGTGTGCCAAATATCTCAGGTATACCGAATAACAAAACCACTTATGTAATTTATACGTTATTGTATTAATTAAGGCATACTGACGAGCCGCTTTATCTAAGCTAGGTCATCATTCACAAATAGTCATAAAACAAACACTGGGAATTTTAGTAAAGTTGATAATATATATATATTATCAGCAAAGTATGCGCTTAATAATTCCTCTCGACCTATAAAAATATTGGTTCATTTATGTACCGTAGTGATTTTTTGGCCATAGAAATATACAATTCTTTATTCATTTTGTACAATTCCCTGTGTCATTTGCACATTCCTGCTTTATAGGATATACACGGTGAAAGCACAATTTGTTTTTGATTCTAAGAACAGTATTAGATTTAAAATATTTCTATCCTGGGTTGTTCTAGTTATATACAGCATAACGAATGCTGTACACACGAACTATTTACAACAAGCATTTATTACCATCTATATTATCTATCTTTTCAATTGTCCTTTCAGATCTTCCGTGACGATCATCAAGGTCCCTGCTTACATCCTTACTTTCCTCAACTTCATTTAGCCATCGGCCGCTACTATGTCTAACATTGATGAATCTTCCTGGCCAGACAATTTCAATTACATCGCTAAACTTATTAATCCAGTCATTTGCCGTGGCCTGTATGACTCTACTTTGACTTCCATGAAGATCAACAACAGATGCATTGTCAAACAATACTATTCTCCTTGCAACTTTGTGGTTTCTAGCCCGGTCGTATGTAACAATTTCAATAGAATATGGACCCGGTTCTTCAAAATCTAGCGTGAGGGAACTCTGAAAGTAACACACAACATATTTTACCAAAAAGTCTACTATTGTGATATGTATTTTACAAGAGAATATATACACTTATAAAGCGTGGCCTATTTACCTGGCATTGAGTTGGACCATCAAAACTCTTCGTGAACAGTTGAACTTTATCAATATCATAATACAAATAAAGACATGTATGCATTGTCACCAGACATATCTTTACTACTAATGTTCATTATCTCAGACAATTCTTGTATTGGACCTTTCCGGTTTTTCGTAGCGTAACATTTAGCCACACCTTTTCCATTCATTGCTAGGTCAACTGCTCAATATTATTCTGTTTGATTTATTAATCCTTTTAATCTTGAAGAGTATCAAACTTTTTAATCGTTTGAACATGACCATATTAATAAATCAGTATATATTATTTGCTTGTACATTCCCAGGGGTCTTTATGTGCGATACATGTACTATCAATGTAAAGCTACATATTAGAGGCTTACAAAAAATTTGGGTACACAAGGCAAGTCATGAAAAATCCAAGATGGCCGCCAAAATATTGAAAAATGGCTCATCAGCGTTTTATCTAATAAATTAAGTTCCTTTTTATTTATTTTGGTACAGATGATGTTAAAACATCAGGTCCTACTAAAACAATATGAGAATTGGTGTCTTTTCTTTTATTTATAAATATTTTTTGGATTTTATAGAGGTATTTTGTAAAAAAATGCATGATAAATTATCACACATTCGACAAGGGACTGCCATTGTTTTCCTTTCAGTCAAGGCATAGTAAAGAATATGAATAATTTTACCATATATTGCAAACGCCTTACCAACATCTTTTTAATTGCGCTCTTACTTCTTATCTTAATCATGTAAGAATGCGGATTATGATATACTTAAAGCGGGTGCGGTGAACGAAAATTGAGCTCGGTATTTTATGAATAGGTTCGCTATAATGCATTGCACTTGAGCATGTTCATAGTTTTTAAGAAATTTAGAGTGCTTAATTGATACCTCGTGTATCAATATTCAACAGGTTATGAAGCCATGGTAACAGTGTATTAAAATGAATGACACTTAAAGTAAACCTGACCTGGAACATATGAGACATTTCAAGGATGTTGTTGAAGAATTTCACGATTTTACCTGACTCAAAATTTAGATGAATAATCTGGGCAAATTAAGTATGTTGGCATGGTAACAAATTTGAAAAACAAATCTTGAAAGGTACTCCACTGAGTTTTATTTTACATGACGGGAGTAGAAATATTTGTTTCCAAGATTTGTGTAGGTCTGGAGCAATAACTCGTGTGCAAATTCTTAGACCATTGTCTCAGTCCGTTTTTTCCAGAATAATCATTGTTGATGTGAAATAAACATATTCTTTTCATGCAAATCCAGTTAAGAATCGCACAAAAGAAAAATCGATTTTCAGTTTTATTCTGAGTGGTGTTTTTTTGTTGTTGTTTTGAAAATCTAGATAGATATGTATCACGTCAATGCCGCGTATAAAACTGCACATAGGGTCAGAATTTCATATTGTGCAGTTTATAATGAAAAGTAGGTCACAGGTTCAACATTTAGGTCAATCAATATCAAACTTAAATGGCATATCAAATTTATGATTAAGTCAAAACTTTAGATTAAAGCTTGTATTAGGAAAGGTAAGTCACTTATTAATTAAATAATTCTGCATCTGAAATTGTGCACATAGACAAAATATCAAAATACAAAAATCGCAATTCAATGGCCTGTCTTATTGTGTGTGTTAGCTCCAAAAACAACAAATTAGGTCACTATGTCTCGAAAACTACATCATCAAAGATCAAAATGTCTTGAGACATGAAGATTTAAAAAGAAAATCGACATCCAGAAGGGGCCAAATTTTAACAAAGAGTCATGGTCATTTGTGATGACCCGCAGACTTAGCTCTTTAGTGAAGATTTCGGATATGAAATATTGTTCGATCCGCATGCAACCATTGATCTCAGACATCGAGTCTTATTTTCATTTGTCTGTCACTGAAGAAAGTAGCTTGCGGAGAAATTGTTTTTTTAAGTTTTACATGAAAGTCAGATAGTGCGATCGACCGCTACAAAGCCATGGCCAAAGATGTCTTGAAATAGGCGTAAAAATCAAACAAACAAAAACTATAAAACATGATTTTACTAAATTTGATAGTGATCACTATACACTAATAACATGAAATATTCAGATATAAAGAAAATAACTTTTAAGAGTTTTCCAAATCCAATCTGTGTAAGATAAAGTGACCCCGGGAACGGGAAAAATCTACAAGCTCTAGACCTTCGGATTTAAGGATCGATTTTAAAAGTATTACATATATAAGAATAGTAAATCAAGCGACCCTGTGGCAGGTTAATTTTGACAAAACGAATCATGATTTACGAGCTTAGTTGTGGTGTATGATATCATGAAACACATTGCTTATAGTCAAAGAGAGAATGTTTAAAGATCTCAGACATTTTATTTTGGGAGAAGAAAATTTAAAATAACTTTTTTCTACATAAAACTATATAATACTGACTCATTGGGCTGGACCAACTTTGACCCGAGGGTCTCGACTTGAATAAAATTAATAAGGTCTTTGGCAATGCTGTACACTGTACTAAACATTTGGTTGTTTGGAAAAATAGGATTAAAAACAGGGTTTCCTCAATGACTCAAAGTAAAATTATGTGACGGGTTGGTTAGATCAAATATTCACCTTATGGCCATGATTTGAATAGAAGTAGTCTATACAAGGCTACATACCATTAAGCATTGAGCGAAGAGGATTTTTATGTTTTTCCCATATGTAAAAAACTGCTTCTTGGCAGGGGGCCGAATTCACAGGGTTATGATTTTAGTAGATTTAATGGCGGTCTTTAAAGCAAATTCTATAAAACATATCTTAGCTCTTGGCTCTGCAGCTTTGTAGAAAAAATGTTAATTTTCCTAAATTTACACTGTGTTAAAGCAAGTTACCTCCGGGGCTTGGCGAATTCAAACAAGGTTGGTAGTTCTATTAGAAGCTACAATAATCTAATCTGAGAATATATGAAAACATGACACTCAGTCAGTTCGTTTTAAACTTATGTTTATAATGGAAATAATCTTGATGAGGGATAAATTGTTATGTCTTCGCAGCCGTATGCAGCTATTGATTTTTTTCAGTTCGGTTAAATAAAAAAATATATTGGCCAGTATTCTTACCGCGCTGGAAATCCTGTCAGGTATCCGCCATTTATTGCACAATTCTGCGTTACTTATTGCACGAATCGTGCATTATTTTCACATTCAGGCATTACTGGATATACACGGTGAACAAGAAAAACATTGACGACGCTAAAATATATTTCATCAAGTCTTGCACCTCAATACTTAATATAACATGTGTACTATATATCAGTATCATAATAACATGTGAGGTTAGGAGGCTAGGACCCTGTTTAAGATGAAACTTGAAACCAAAAATAGACTCTTGCCAAGATACAAAGACAATTTGTAGTCAATTAACAAATCACTAATAAGACTTATGCCATGCAACCGTCCGATGGAATTGCACCATGGATCCTGTCACCACTAGTAATGGACGCTAATTTAACCTCTGGATAGGCCTTTTTGTAACCTGCCAAATATCACAGTTCAGAAAATAAATCACAACAACCAGGCTAAGTCATCCTTTACAATATTCCTTTAACTCTTTTATAGATACTATTATTAGCCAGCTAACACTGGGTATAAACCAATAACTTGTAGACTTATCAATACATGTATTATCATTTATAAATTTAAATGCAAGTCTCGTCCCTTTAATAATAATGTCATAAGTGTAACTCTTTAAATACAGAAATATTATAAGTCTCATCATATCCATATACTAAGATATACATGTATGCACATAACATTTATAATTTCCAGGTTCTATTAAATAATTAACATTGGTATTTGGACGGAATTCAAAATCTAGTAGAAAGAAAACTCTAATGAATAGTATAAAAGTAAAAAAAAACACCAAATAGTCTATATCATATAATAACGATTGAGTTGTGTCTAAGCATTTAATGCATATCTCTTATAGTAACAAATACTTTCTTGACCTTCCAGTAGACTTTACTATATGACAACTAACTGCATATATAGCAAGTGTTTAAAATTGATAACTTCAGGATGCTATTCTTTTTCTATTTCAATATATGGACACGAGCACCTGTATGCATAGCTTTAATTTTCTATCTTTCATTTTTACCAAAGGTTATTTTATTAACAATTCAAATACAAACATATAGAAAATAAAAATTAGTTTTACATAGTGATTAGAAGATTTCTGTATACATGCAGGTATGTACTAACTGAACACACTAGAAAAACTCAGTCCCAGGTATATAAAGCCAGTCAAAAAAAATGTATCAAAATTCACTCCTCAGGGCCTCTCTGCTTTTGATGAATTGGGGTAAACTTTCTCATTATTTGCTAATATACAACAAAAATAGTATGTTATACCTAAGATACAATGTAGACAGAAAAGAACAAACGATTTAGTAAACATGAGTTACTTCCCCTTAAAATAGAGAAAACCTGAAACCCAAAAGAACACCCTAAATAGCAAAATTATGAAATGTTGCAGACTCAGATTTATTAAGCCAGGGAAAGTAATGTTAAAAAGTATTCATAAAAATTAGTTCGCCATATAACAGTAGTAATTACATTGCAAAAAAATTGGATAGTTTTCAACATCCGGTTGCAAAAACAATCATTCTGTGCAATAGATAAACGTACCATGGATAAAATCAATATCGTTTTCAACAGTTCCATTACCAATCCTCATACTCATTTGCAGGTGAACTTTCTGCTTGTAGGAGAATGTTAAAATATATACAATTTACAAATATTAAACAAAGCCTCGGACCTCACAGACCACCGTTTAATGTTGATGACGAAAAAGGTTTGGTATAACAGTATATAGAACGAAAGAATAAACAATGCATAATTAAAAAAAATAAACAGTGAAAACTATGAAATAAAAAAAAAAATCTAAAATAAATAACAAAAAAAATAATGAAAAAGAATTCAATTGACATCAATGTAGACCACATCGATATTCGGAGTCCGGCTTTTAGTATTGCCGATTAAGCTAAGGGACAAGCTATTAAAATGAGCCTGCAATTTCATGAAACTAATATCACAATGTACATGCTCTTAACATAAAGTTATTAAAAACAAACATAACAACATATTTGTCCACTAATTTTTACAAATCTAATCAACACAACATGACATTAACTGCTAATAATAACAGCTCCAACAATGGGCCCCCCCAAAAAGCATTCCATAAGAGACAACGCCGCTCACCGGCGTCGCCAATGATATTTTAATTGAGAAACATGCCATAAAGAACAAAATGCAACAATGCTTTTATGCACAGATTTAATTAATGGTCTACGATGAATGATCATTGAATATGAGTCTCAATCTATATATATTGAAAAAAGTAACTTCAGCCAGTGACCCTGTGATTATGATTTTATGATTTGTTCGGTTGACTACTGTTCGGACCAATGAGACCGCAGCTATTTTAAGAACATATAAGAACACCGATTATACCATTTTACTTGTAAATATGACTAAAATGTAAAACTATTTGCTTATAAACATACAAAATTGTACTACCAAATGCATGATTAGGTTAAAACCTTTTTGAACGCGATTTATAAAACATTATGAAACGAAACGAGATCTACTTAAAAAGTCACATATTTATAACGAACGAAATAAATTTGAGCGACTTCTTTTAAGAAGCAATTTCATTTCATTCTCTAATTTGGGTGGAAGTTCATTCAATAGTCTTTAGGGTGCGGTCTCAAAACTCCTTTTATTTTTAAGGCATTGCATACATATCGGAATTGCTAATATTGTAGCATTATTTTGAGATCTTAAAACTGAATTTAATAAATAAGCTAACATTTTTTCCGTCGGCTTAAAAACCAAGCATCCTATATTTTCGTTAACGTATTTAACAGTCGTGTTGCATATCTCATTAAATATTAAATATATTGTTCATATGTTATGATTTTAAAAGAAAAACCCTGCGGTAACTAAAGTTCGTATAAGAAATTTACATGCAAATAAAGACTTCCATAAGATCGCGTATGCGCTACAATCAATTGATACTATGAGTATCGCAGCAAATATGAGATATTCTTGTGCAAGTTTTAGTTTCACGTTGCATTAGCCTGTCGTTCACAAAAAGTAGTCATCTCATAAAAAAATCGAATTTGTATGAAAACATCCGTAATATAATTTTGAAACATACCGTTTAATTCTGACTGCTACTTAAGAATATTTGAAGGTGTGTAAGTGTATGCAATTGTTCGATTTTAAAAGGTAAAAATGGAAGATCTTTATTATGGTGTTATGTGTCGCATCGAGATAAGACAACCTGCTATGTTGTGAGCATTTGAGTTTCTTGCAGACGGTCTGTATAACAAAGCATTACAGGGTCTGATCTGCATGTCTATAGAAAATTTATAAAGAATTTTGAGGCATCGATGTAAAGGTTTTTTCTTTTGTGGCCTGTTTATTATGTGAAGGCAGACCTATTTGTTATGTGTAGCAACAGTGTAAATTTACCAAACTTTTAATTCGCTAATGTATTATCATGACATTTAATTCTACAGAATGCTTGAAATGATAAAAGTTGAAAGCATCATACGGTTCGTGTGTCTTCTATTTAACGTGCGTTTTATTTTACCAATTAGTTGCCATGGCAACATAACCATTACAATTATTGATGGAATGCAAACATACCTTTAAAATGATTTTAGATTGTAGTACTTTTCAAAATGCGATACGTGTTTATTAATCTTAGCCTTAAACGGCGTAATATATCAATTTACTCAATTTTCTTTCGTTCACCCCACCTCCTTTTAAAATATTTGAATCCACATTCTTTCACACAAAACAATTGAAAATAAGGGTACAATTTGTTAGATCTTGTTCAGGCCTTTGATACATGTTTGTCTCGTTTTTGCCTCGACTAAAAGGTGAAAATGTCAGTCCCATAATATATTTTGGATATTTCATTTTTCATGCATGTTAGCCAAATGTATCTATGAAAGAAAGAAAATATGTAAAATAAATTTTAAAAGCCCAATTTTTTAACAGTTTCAGCTGGATGTGAGGTTCTTAAATCAAGTATCGTTAAGCAAATACAAATAATTTTTCTCAAAATAAAATCCGAATGAGCAAACCATGATTTTACATGTCTACCCAAAATTTTGTAAACGATAAAAATATAGAGCTTTCCATGATAAACTATAAACCCATATACGTTTTTGAACCGTAAAGTTCCCACGAAATTATAAATAACTAGAAATTGTCACAAGTGTCGAATTTCCCCGACATGCGCTTGTCAGAAAACGTGCTTCTTAATTAATAATTTTGCACACAGGGAGCATGCAGTAGTTTATAGATTTTTTTTTCATTTTTTATAATTATTTATCCTACATCAATAAGATAAATTAACGATTGGATTTGAAGTTTTCATAACTTCATTTCAGGGCAAAACGTTCTTTCTTAGGTTTCTGCACTTCTACTCAGTGAGATCTATCTACCTACATAGTTTCATGTTGATACCTTTCATAGTTCTTAAGTTATGTCCTGGACAAAGTTAAAAGTGTAAAATTGAACAAAGGACAATAAAAACAAAATTAGGGTAGAATGGGTTACGATTCTTCCGCACTGTACTTTTACTTAGTAAGATATATCTACCTACAAAGTTTCAAGTTGATACCTTTTACAGTTCACAAGTTATGTCCAGGACAAAATTCAAGTGTAAAAATGAAAGAAGAGCAACAACTTCACAATAAGTGAAGGAAAAGTTAAGTTTCCTATTCATTGCACTTCTACTCAGTAAAATTATATACCTACAAGGATTTTAAGTTGATACTAATTATAACTTAAGTTATGTCTCGGTGTAAAAATGAACAAAGGGCAATAACTCTAAAATAAGGCAAAGCAGAGTTACGGTTCTTTTACACTGCACTTCAACTCAATAAGAGAGATCCATTTACCTACAAAGTTTCTTGTTAATACCCCTTGTCATTTTAGAGGTATGTCCCGGACAAAGTTTAAAGTGTAGAAATTAAAAAGGGCAATAACTCTAAAATGAGACAAGGTAGAATTATTTTTCTTTTGCACTGCACTTCTACTAAATGAGATCTATCAACCAACAAATTTCTAATTAATTCCCCTAGTGGTTTTAGAGTTATGTACGTGACAAAGCTCAAAGTGTAAAAATGAACAAATGGCAATAACTCAAAAATAATGCAAAAAGACTTATTGTTCTTCTGTACTGTACTCTTACACAACGAGATCTATCTACCTACAGAGTTTCTTATTAATACCCCTTTGTCATTTTAGAGATATTTCCTGACAATGTTCAAAGTGTTGAAAAAAGGCTACAACTTTAAAATAAGGTAAGACAGAGGGCAATAACTCTAAAATTAGGCAAAGCAGAGTTACGGTTCTTTCGCACTGCACTCCTACTAAATGATATCTATCTACTAACACAGTTTCTTGTTTATTTCCCTTGTGGTTTTAGAGTTATGTCCCGGAAAAAGTTTAAAGTGTAAAAATAAACAAAGAGCATTGACTCAATAAGTCAAGGTAGAGTTACGGTTCTTTTGTACTGTTCTGTTTGGAGGGATTGAAGGAGGGCGGCAGTACCCCTCATCGCCAAGAAAAGTTTGGACTTGTGAGAGGCTAAAATGACCCTAGGTCGATCATAAGGTAACGTGTAACCAACGCTGAAAAGCCTTTGACTCTTTCTGAATCCATTGAGAAGTGGCAGCACTTTGAAATCAATTTTGATGGAAAAAATCAACGCAAAATAGTGATTTTTTTTGCAATTTTGAGATGTCCCCTCGTTGCCATAGTAACAGTAAATTTAAGACTAAGCATGTTGTTACAAAGGCAATGGTCCAGTCAACATTTGTGCCAAGTTTGATTAGTATTGAAGAAGTTTTTATAGTTTTATAGCAATTTGAACTTGTAACGGGAGACTTTTCAATGAAAACAGCCATTTTTCACAAAATGCTCATGAAGTAATGGCTTAATACCCCTTGTCTTTTAAGAGTTATGCTCCGGACAAAGTTCAAAGTGTAGAAATAAAAAAGGGCAATGGTCCCAAAATAAGGGAAGATAGAGTTACGGTTCTTTTGCACTGCACTTCTACTAAATGAGATTTATCAACCTACAAAGTTCAAAGCGTAAAATTAACAAAGGGCAATACCTCCAAAATTAGGCAATGACGGGTCTTTTGAACTGCACTTTTACTCATTGAGATCTATTTACCTACAATTTTGTAGTTGATATCTCTTGTAGTTTTAGAGTTATGTCCCGGACAAGAAATCTGCAACGGACGGACGGACCGACCACCAGATGACTCCAGTATACCCCTCAAACTTCGTTTGTCGGGGGTAAAATGACTAAGAATTCTTGTAATTTCGTATCTCCTTTATATTTAGACAACTGCATACTTACATATGAGGAACTGGTATTCCTAGAAGGATTTAGCAACTTTCCATTCATAAGTGGACCAGTGTCAGTTGTTTTTTTTAATGTGTATATATTAAACACATACTCTTCTACGCCAGAATCACTGTCACTCCATCCGTCCCACTGCACGGTCACTTTTGGCTGAAATGAGATTTTTATACCATAATTATGCAGTGTAAATGATAAATTTTTATATTAGCATACGAATGTATCTTAGTCTACGAGGCTGACGTAACATTATCATTTAATCATTTATATATTTGTCATTTTTTTTACAATAGTATTGGACATTTCTTTTGTAAAAAGATTATTTACTTTAAGAAACGATAATTAAATCATAGGTGTGACATGACTAAAACATCATTTTATTTTGTATGCTAATGCTCACACCCATTTTTTGCACTATTTCGAACAATGTTTAAGTAAATACAAATGTACCAAGAAAGCAAATGTTTCAATGGACAATGTACAAGTGAATTAGTAATTTGCATTATGGAAAAGAAGGTATTATTTCTATAATCAATTTGATTTTGAAATTGAATGGTTAAACAATTTATAACTCTAAAATATATTGCTGCTAACAATACCTGTGTAAGAAAATCTGTTGCCTTTAATGCATCTTTCTTACAGTCATCACTTTGTTCAAAGCAATGGACAGGCGGGTAAATGTCAAATTCCAGTTCAAGAGATTCGGTTGTTATAATACCATTAAGAAAATACGGCTTTTCTAAATATGGCCGCTGAAAACTACTTCTGTCTTCATAAAATACTTCGCCACCGTTTTTAGCAGATACGGTATATTCTATTCTGAAAGAAAATATTTCGACATAAACCAATAATATATAATTATGAATTCAATGTACATTAACATTTTCGAGAATATTTTGAATATTTTGCTGATGAATGATTTTTAAAACAATGTTTTACGAGTACAAGTGTAAAAAAATCGAGGAAAGAAAAAAGTTTTTACTTTAATTTTGGAAAGGTTTTATTAAGTTTTACATATTATTTTATATTAAAACTACATTAGCCTTAACTAGTTTTAAGTTTCTAAATTTTGCAAAACTTGTTCAAAGGCATGATCTATACAAATTTATATATTATTTTCTATTTTATACGAATCAACTACAGTAAAATTGGTTATTTCCTAAATCATCCTACCAAATAACATTTGCACATCTGAATCAATCATGGGTAAATGGGTATGTGACAAAGATTTGTAGATATATTACAATATACTGGCCTTGATATTGTATCCATACCTATCCCCATGCATAAAGTTTCCTTTAAATATCCTTTGCCATGATGTTATACTCTTTAAATATTTCGGCTGGATCTCTTTATCACAGTTTTCAGCAAAATTTTTACACTCTCCGTTTATTGACCACTTTGCCCTGTCCGCACCTGTTAAAGTTACACTTTTTATAAACTAATATTACCTTAATGGCATATTATACTTGTAGCAAAACAACACATAGAGGATATTTGTTTGTTTGTGTGTAAGATTATTTCATCGAGTGAGCTTTTCAAAGTTTTTTAACAGTAATCTGTTTTTAAAGTTTACGAGGTGAAATATAATTACATCTTACACAAAAAAAAACAAACAAATTTTCTTTTATTTTATGCCTAAAAACAAGTTAAAACGAAATTTCCTTAATATTAACATTAATATTAAAATTTGTTTTCCCCATTGAGAGCCTCATTTAGTCGAATTTCTCATTAAATGCTGAAAATTAAGTTGACAATCAACGTTTAATGGCGGTGATATTATTCATTTTATTTAAAGAAATTTGAATGATCGTTTGTTTGATTCAAAAGGATATCATTTGGATTTGTTACTCATACACATTTTTAAAAGAAAGAAAACTTATTTGAGTAATTTAGCAGACCATAAATAAGTGTTGACAGAAGTGTAAACATTCAAAAAGCGGCTTGGAATGGGAAAACTTGGAAAGTTGAAAGGCAGCCTAAAGAACGCGGGGTTGTTTACCTATTCTTTGGCCTGATGGCTGTCATTGCTTTTCAAGTTTTCATAAAGATACGGCAGTTATTGCCCGTAGGATACTTAAATATTCCTTAATGTCATCAAGAGCAGTTTTGCATGTGGAAGGAATGTATTTTTCAGACTGCAAAAATGAAACAAAAAATAGGAGATTGGTAATTTGAATGAATAGAGGTAAGTTTTCTTTTTATTACTTTTAACATTTAAGTTATTTATCAATTTCAGCTTTGCTTTTCTCTGAACAGCCTGACATCCTGACAGTGTCAGAATTGTCAGCAAAATAAAATGAGGTTCCACATGGGAAAAATCTTAAGAAAGTAGTTTTGTCATTGAAAAGTGTGAAATTATCAAATATAATTTTCACGGATAAACCAGTAATCCACTGAAAAGCATAAAATAAAAAATATTTATTACTCTTTGGATCTGCTCTTCATGGAATAAGCTAAATGTATATTATGTCTATTATTGCATTTTTCAACATTTTTATGGAATATTATTATAAAACATTGTTATTTCTTCAGCAGTAAATAGTTAGGGCTGTAAAATGTATTCACTTCTTGGTAACATGGCTTTTTCAGAACTTGTTTTCAGTCTTTTCAAAGGCTAGGATTCATTTGATCAGTATCAACTTAGCGACAAACTAACAAAATCACAAAGAATATAATTGATAGATTAAATGAGTGTCACGTAACCGATTATAAGTTAACGATTTGTCATGTTCATAATTTTGACGCCGAAACAAATGGTCATATATGACGTCATATTTTACGTCATTAGAACACCTGAGCTGACACGAGACATTCTGTCTATAAATATTTTTTCCTTATCTTTATTCTAACGTAAGCGATATATGAGATAATCCACAAACTATTATTTCAAGGCAAAAAGATCTAAATGAACGCATATGAAAACTATATCTACAAGTATAAAAAGAAAAGAAGCAACTCTGTGTCTGGACTATTTGAAAGGGCTTTATTTAGAAAAAAAAATTTCAATTGGCAGTAAAATGAACAACAAACATTGATATGTTTGCTCATGTTTAAACTAACTTTTGAAAACATAATTTAATTCCACTATATAAAGGCATTAACTGGTAGAATATTGCCCTATCATTATCATTAACGGACAATAATTTTAACTTATAATAGTGATTTAACAATAATTGCTTGCAATTCAACATCACCTTAGGTAAAGTACATACCTCTGAACAACGTGAGACCAATGTCCATGTCATCTATTCCGATCGTATAATCTGTTATATAGTTTGGTATCGTTGCGCTGTCTATCTCCGGTTTATAGTGTGACGAAGCTTTCAGCGTTAGCTTTGACCAATCAGTTACTTTGGTCCAGAATTTTGGTTTACTAAATGCTTTATCCAATACCAGTTTATGATCTGTATTATCCACCAGGTTAAAAGAGAAATCTTTAATTGTCGGTTTTCTTGCAGATGTAGCTAAAAATAAACGGAATAACAATAACAAAATCAGTATATAATTTGATTTACTATGTTTCATGACTCGTTATATTCCTCCTGAAAGGTGAAGTATAATTGAATGTACAGTTTCAACGGTGGACTTGAACCCTTTTTTCAAGAAATAACAAAAATAATAAATTTCTTAATTTCTCACATTATAAAAGGTAACTATTTCAATTTCAGCGTCTGCACCTATCATGCTCCAATATCAATGATGTTTAGATCTAATGTTATAAATTTAACTTTCTTTTTATTTTAATTTTAGTTAATATATTTAGTCCGTGTTGTACTACATCTAGCCTTTTCATTCTTCAGAGGCCAAAATAATCAATATTTAATTCAAATTTCACTCAATCTAGAAATGTTTTTAGATTCCAAATTCAAAATTTATATCAATATCTACTCGAAAAAAACTTTTCTTGTCGTTAATTATTTTTTACAAGTTATCTCTTTTACATATTATAGGCACTTTAAATTCTGTATTATCAAGCGTTTTAATCACTGTGATCGGATGTCATTTGCAACAAACGTAATTTTTATGTAAATAAATTTCTATCAAAATGTTAAAAGTTATGGCAAAAAAAAACGTAAGAGATAATTAAAATGATTAAGTAAATATATTGATTACTGGTACACAACTACACAACCTATATGAGACCCGGCTAGAGCCTCATCCGGTACGAGTTTTACAGTTGTGTCTCGCCTGTGTACCTACCAGTTGCACAGTCCATACCACCACCGAATCCGACGGCACATTTACAGTCTTTGCTTAGTACCATATCACCAGTGCAGCTTCCAGGAAAACATCTTGCTCCCTGTTTCCAAGAACACGCCTCTACAGGGTACAAACAATCAAAAAATAACATCGACTGTCAACATTTTGCATTGCAGAAGAAACAAGAGACATGTCAACAAGGCCATCCCCCGCTGAATTTGTTTGCTCATTGGAAGTATATGTAGTAGAGCAGAAGAATTCAATCTTAAGAGGTCTTTTGGTAATGAAAACTGATGGCTGAAGTAATTACAGATTTGGAACCAACGTGAATACTGATGGCTGAAAATAACAAAGGGCAATACCTGAAAAATGATAATCATGCAAGGTAGGTTATCATTCTTGTGCGCTGCACTCCTCTTTAATGAGATCTATCCACCTATGAAGTTTCAAATTGATACCTCTAACATATTTGAGATAAGCTCCGGACAATAGTATGAAAAAAAACAACAAAGGGCAAAAACTCAAAAATCATATAGGGAAGAGTTATTATTCTTGCGCACAGCATTCCTCCTCATTAAGATCTATCCACCTATGGCGTTTCATATTGACATCTCAAAGACTTTTTGAGTTATTTTCCACTCAGGTGAAAAATTAAGAATGAAAATAACAAATGACAATAACTAAAAAATTATGAAGGGTAGAGTTATCACCCTTATGCACCGCACACCTCCTGAGTGAGATATATCTACCTATGAAGTTTCAGGTTGATATCTCAAAGGCTTTTTGAGTTATGCTCTGGACAAAAATTAATTTTGAAAAATCGCAAAGGTCAATAACTCAAAAATTATTCAGGGTAGAGTTATCATTCTTATGCACTGCACTCCTCCTTAATGAGATCTATCCACCTATGAAGTTTCAAGTTGATATCTCAAATACTTTTTGAGATATGCTCCAGACAAAAATGACGGACGAAAGGACGGGCGGAAGAAGACTATTTCTATATCCCCCGCCGCCCTTAGGCGCGGGATAATAAACATTTTATATTAGGCAAATTAATTTTAATCAATTTTTCCACAAATATTTTTTTTTTTTGGGGTGGGGGGGGAGGGGGGGTGTTTAATCGAATGAACCAGGTTAGATTCCTGCAAAAATTTAACCATTTTAAGATTAGCAACGAATCTGTTATAAATATCAAGTTTGTAAGATTAACGTGTGTTATTACCATGTGTTAAATTTATTATTACTTAAAAACAACAACGATAACAAAAAAAAGACAAGGATCCCCTTAAATCCTCAAAAACACATTGCATTCGAATTTGTTCAAACTGTGTGTCAAATGACAAAGTACAATAATGCATATTAACCACAAACAGTGAATGTGCCTGACACTTGTGACATAAACTTGATCTTAAACCAAGAGTATAAAAACTCACTTTGACATTGCTTATCATCTGGTTTACTAGTATAGACGTTGTATCCTGGGCTTTCTCTTTTGTATTCTTCAATACAATATTCACACCTATAATCGTCCCAGTTTGAGCAGACAGCCCGATTGCAGAATGATGGTTTGTAGCACGCTTTAAAAGGGTGGGAAAATACATACTTTGACTGTGACTTTATAAATAATATAGTACATGTATAACGTTAAAAAGGATTTAATGACTTGGAGATATTATTACTTTGAGGAAAAACATTAAAAAGGCCGCTCATATTTCATTTTGATAAAGGCATAAGCATTCGAATAAATATAATTTTGACAAATAGTCTGCCAATGTTATTGTTGTCATTAGCAACTGCATGCAACCAAGGAACTATATTCGTTAAACCAGTTTCTGGAAAGTTTGCGAACTGCCGTTTTAAATGTGTTACCTTTGCAATATCCGTTGTCATAGGTCACTGGATAAAATCCTTCATTACAATCTCTGCATTGTGATGGGGCATAGCATGTTCCACCACTATTTGTCACAACGCTTCCATTTATGTATTTCGCTTTCCCTTCATTGTTTCTATTGCAAGTATTTGGACCGTAGCCTTTAGAGCAGAGTGCTAAAATAGTAGATCTATTATAAAATGAAAACGTATATATCATCCGAAGAAACCTATACATTCATGCACACACGAACGCACGCACGCACGCGCACACACACAATTACATACATACATAACCGGTACCGTTGGCCTAGTGGTTAAGGCGTGAATTGAAGGATGAATGTTTCTCGTGGGACTCGTTCCGAAATGGCCGCTTCGTGAGCCGCGAGGTAGTTAAAATGAATGGTTACCGATTTCTATCCGCCTGGCGCCTGGCATAGTGGTAGGAATTGGGAGGTACATGGTATGCAACCAAAAGGTGTCTCATAAGTCAAAATGGCTGGCCCTTTCAGTAGGGGTGACACTATAATAAACAAGACCTTTACCTTTTACCTTTTACATACATACATACATACATACATACATACATACATACAAACATACATTTTGGTTTAACCTTTTTATTTACCGAAAATTTAATAAAGTTACCGGTAGTAATATATAGATACGGAACGTGTTCATACATAGAAATAAATATAATCTTTTTATTTATATTATGCTCATCTGAGAGTAAAATATTTTTATCCCAGAAATTATTTGAAATCTATGTACAATGTATTTCTTCTGAATATGTCTAATTTTAATAAAAGAATGTACAGACTTTGTGTGGAAAGCTGCATAATCCTATTACAGGTCATGTAAAGTTGACCCTTACTTAAAAAACTGCCAGTTTTTAATTGACACTATATATTCTTTTTGTATCTACCTATAGTGTGTAGAGTTTAAAACATAAGATATATAGTTAGTGTGTAGTCAAAACATGTTTATTCTATTCTAAAAAGAGACTGTGTAGCAATTATCAATATTCAAAAATACAAAATTTGAGCAAGTATATCTTTATCAAATGTAACTGTGATAAATATCTAACGTACGTGAACCACATCTCTCAAAAAATGGCTTCCAACTGTGTGTCCATCCGTTACAGCATCCGGTCTGTTGAAAATATCTTAAATAAAAAAATACAATAATTAGATCAAAGATATGTTGGAAAAATATAATCAATGGATAAACATTATTTATGTTTTACTATTACCACGGATCATGTTCCTCCTTGTTAATTTGTGTCATAATCAGTAGAGTTAATACAAACACAAAACTTTGATTGATATTGACTGGCAGAACCAGACATCTTTATAGTCTAAGAATAGATTATGATATAACCAAAGGATTAACCAAAAACGTCGAATACGCTTTCATATAGAAAACAATTGTAGCAAACGTTATAATAGATGACACAAAGTTGGACAACAAAAAACACCCAATATAGTTATATTTTAACCTATAGCTCTTCAGCGCTTCTTATGTAAAATTCTTCCAAGTATAATTTCCAATAACCGTAAATTAACCTATAGCTCTTCAGCGCTTCTTATGTAAAATTCTTCCAAGTATAATTTCCAATAACCGTAAATTAACCTATAGCTCTTCAGCGCTTCTTATGTAAAATTCTTCCAAGTATAATTTCCAATAACCGTAAATTATACCATACCCAGACTATGGTATAATTTTCAGTTTTGAAGATCGAAGGAGTAAGTGTTTCTGGGCGGAGCTATAGGTTAAAACAGATACACCATTGGTGCGTTGACGATTTCTGGGTTTGCGTAAATTATACCATAATCACGTGACCTTTCTTATGCCACCTCACTCGACTTCGTCTCGTGAGGTTAAGGCATAAGAAAGGTCACGTGATTATGGTATAATTTACGCAAACCCAGAAATCGTCAACGCAGCAATGGTATATCTATTACTTATACCATACCCAGACTATGGTATAATTTTCAGTTTTGAAGATCGAAGGAGTAAGTGTTTCTGGGCGGAGCTATAGGTTAAAACAGATACACCATTGGTGCGTTGACAATTTCTGGGTTTGCGTAAATTATACCATAATCACGTGACCTTTCTTATGCAACCTCACTCGACTTCGTCTCGTGAGGTTAAGGCATAAGAAAGTCTGCAATTCTTGTGTTATTTTGTTGTGATTAATGCTTCCGAGGGATCACTTTGTTTCCAGAATTTTGTACTTCACACCAGCAGGTGTCAAGTGCCGTGTGGCAGCCGTAAAAAGTTGCCCCGTACTTCACTTCAGTGTTGTTATATTTTCTGGTCCTTCGGGATCATTGATGCCAACACTATAACGTGTTGAGAATTGAGTACCGCTCAAGCCGGTGCTAGGGGGCGTGAGGGATGTTGCACTTATTCATTATCCCTCATGTACAGACTCAATCAAACCGAGTCTGCAATTCTTATGTTATTTTGTTGTGATTAATGCTTCCGAGGGATCACTTTGTTTCCAGAATTTTGTACTTCACAACAGCAGGTGTCAAGTGCCGTGTGGCAGCCGTAAAAAGTTGCCCCGTACTTCACTTCAGTGTTGTTATATTTTCTGGTCCTTCGGGATCATTGATGCCAACACTATAACGTGTTGGGATTGAGTACCGCTCAAGCCGGTGCTAGGGGGCGTGAGGGATGTTGCGCTTGTTTATTATCCCTCATGTACAGACTCAATCAAACCGAGTCTGCAATTCTTATGTTATTTTGTTGTGATTAATGCTACCGAGGATCACTTTGTTTCCAGAATTTTGTACTTCACAACAGCAGGTGTCAAGTGCCGTGTGGCAGCCGTAAAAAGTTGCCCCGTAATTCACTTCAGTGTTGTTATATTTTCTGGTCCTTCGGGATCATTGATGCCAACACTATAAAGTGTTGAGAATTAAGTACCGCTCAAGCCGGTGCTAGGGGGCGTGAGGGATGTTGCGCTTGTTTATTATTCCTCATGTACAGACTCAATCAAACGGAGTCTGCAATTCTTATGTTATTTTGTTGTGATTAATGCTTCCGAGGATCACTTTGTTTCCAGAATTTTGTACTTCACAACAGCAGGTGTCAAGTGCCGTGTGGCAGCCGTAAAAAGTTGCCCCGTAATTCACTTCAGTGTTGTTATATTTTCTGGTCCTTCGGGATCATTGATGCCAACACTATAAAGTGTTGAGAATTGAGTACCGCTCAAGCCGAAGCTAGGGGGCGTGAGGGATTTGCGCTTGTTTATTATCCCTCATGTACAGACTCAATCAAACCGAGTCTGCAATTCTTATGTTATTTTGTTGTGATTAATGCTTCCGAGGGATCAATTTGTTTCCAGAATTTTGTACTTCACAACAGCAGGTGTCAAGTGCCGTGTGGCAGCCGTAAAAAGTTGCCCCGTACTTCACTTCAGTGTTGTTATATTTTCTGGTCCTTCGGGATCATTGATGCCAACACTATAAAGTGTTGAGAATTGAGTACCGCTCAAGCCGGTGCTAGGGGGCGTGAGGGATGTTGCACTTAATCATTATCCCTCATGTACAGACTCAATCAAACCGAGTCTGCAATTCTTATGTTATTTTGTTGTGATTAATGCTTCCGAGGGATCACTTTGTTTCCAGAATTTTCCCTTTCTTGTTAGTATTTCGCGTTGAATGCGATTATGATTCTGGATACTGCGTACACCCGGCGTTGTTATGTTACAGAAATTGAGAAATTGTCTAATAAACTGAAATTTTCAAACAGCTGGAAGTTTTTTTTTTATTGTAGAACCTGTTTCATAAATATATTTTCAATCTTTGTTATTTTTCCTTTGTACTAATAATGTCTTAAAACAAACTTTTTATAAGAAAAAGACATTATGATACTGCGTACACTCTAAAAAAATCAAGATACTGCGTACACATTTATGGGTTATTGATTCTGCCTACATTTTCTTCGAAGCAGTCTAAGTTCATAATGGGATCAAATGGATAACACTAGCGAACAAAAAATAAAATAATAAAAAGATAATAAAAATAAAAAAGAAAATTTTGGACATGTTACAGGCTAAAAATGGCCTCAGGTCGACCGTTAGGTAACGTGTAACCAACGTTGAAAAGCCTTTTACTCTACCTCAATCCATTGAGAAGTTGCAGCACTTTGAAACCAGTTTTAATGGAGAAAAAAATGCAAAATAGTGATATTTGGCAATTTTGAAACGTCCCCTCGTTGCGATGGTAAGAAAAAATTTAAGATTGGACATGCTTTTCAAAAGACCATGGTCCAGTCAACATTGTGCCAAGTTTCATCAGTATTGAAGCCTTTTTGATAGTTTCATAGCAGTATGAACTTGTAACAGGAGGCTTTTCAATGAAAACGGCCATTTTTCAAAATATTCTTATGAGGTAAAAGGTTAAATATGAGGTGTATATTCTTTTGTTCTCTCTTTTGAAAAATGTTTTATTTTGAATGATGAAAATGAAAACACAAAAGTGACAGACAATAGCATTGGAATTTATTTCAAGTATATTTAATATACATAAGAAGTACATATTCTGCCATTGCGCGTAAAGGCAAATTAAGCTATCAGTGACTTTAAATACTGGCAATAACATTGTAAATGTTTTTCTGTAAATAGAAATATCAGACGTTTTTTTTATTTTATTTTTTGATTTTTATTAATTTGTAATCATGTTGACACGTTTATTTCTCGGGAGATTTTTTGCATTCACTCTTAATGGAACAGGATTTCTTTTCGGGATATATTTAGAATAACTAGATTTAAGGATGGTAATGAACCATCTGTTGAAAAAGTGATAAATTTAAATTAGGTCTGATTTTTTCTACGAAACTATAAGTACCACAGTTCCAAAGATGTTCATCCCATAAATTGTAAATAAAAGAAGGAAGGTATAGAAATATCGATATGAATTTACGTATATGCACTAAATACAGTATGAATCAAATAGAAAAAGGAATATCATTTCTAATTAGTTTGTCCATTCTATAGTGAATTGAGAGGTCAATGTTTTCCTCGGAATTATTGTGCTTGGCCATCCATAAATTCATATCAATGATGCAATCCTCGCAAAAGAAAAGATTTGCTAATTTAGCTAAGTTTATTTATTGTGCTATATATAAGAGAAGCTTAAAACAGTTAATTTCATAGATGTAGGTATTTGTTTCTATATTATTACATTCTGTATTTACTTCTGTGACTGATATTGACATTTTGATTTTTTGTAGTAGTTTTGTTAACTATATATCATACCTTTATTATGTAATGTAAATATGTTTTATCCGCCAGGCTAACTTGGCGATGAACATGTAATTTTGTTTTTGACAATAAAATATTTGACTTGACTTTACTTAATTAATATCTTATAAGGATCTTACACCGGCTGTCAATTCAGACCGGAATATCTAGCTCGATGGTAACCGTTTACTGAGGTAACGAGGCTGAGTTTCAGTTCTTAACAGTACTTAACACGAATGCTAGATATTCCACTCTGTGACAACAGTCGGTGTTTTATTCTTTTTCTTCCATATTAAATATATTAATCATATTTCGGAAAGAAATTTTATTTGTAAACTATAACTGGCCTTTTTGTAACAATATAGGATATTCACGCCTACTAAACAGTGACTCTTTCATATTTTGGTGATCAGTGTAAATGAGAGCCATCGACACTTCCGTTATAGAGTCATCGACCAAAACAAAGCAGAACAAGAGCCATGTTAACATGGCCATCCCCATGGGAAGAATGTATATACAGTAGAGCAGTAAAAGGTTTTTTGGTAAGGAACACTGATGGCTGAAGTGATTATATATTTGAAACCTATGTGAATACTGATGGCTTAAAATAACAAAGGGTAATAACTGATAAATAATGCAGGGTAGGTTATCATTCTTGTATGCTGCACTCCTCCTCAATGAGATCTATCCACTTATGAAGTTTAAGTTGATATCTCTAACAATTTTTAGATAAGCTCCGGACAAAATAGTATAAAAAATAACAAAGGGCAAAAGCTCAAAAGTTATAAAGGGTAGAATTAACATTCTTGCACCTAGCATTCCTCCTCAATTAGATAAATCCACCTATGAAGTTTCATGTTGACATCTCAAAGACTTTTGAGTTATGCTCCCCTCAGGTGAAATATTAAGTA